AAACAAAACAAAACCCCTTGAACCGGAAAGAAAGTCTTGGTTCCAAATTAAACAGAAACTACAAAATCAGTTAGCTGGCACTTCCTGACAGCCACATGCCAGTCAGATCACTGTGTGGGAGTCCTGCTGAGATTTACACTGGAGAGCAGTTGCCAGGAGAGTGGTTTTGTCACAATCCGAAAGGAGTCCCTATCCCATGGGACAAGGGCAGAGTAGATGGCCAAGTCTAGGCTCCCAGTGGCCGAGCACATGGTCCAAGTGGGCTTGGTCCTCCCCAGAATTCACACCCAGAAGGCCCCGCTCCCAACCCCTTGGGGTGTCTGGAGATGGAAGCTGTAAAGAGGTATTAAGGTAAAATAAAGTCACGAGGTGGGAGGGTGGCCTTATCCAGTGGGACAGGCATCATAAGAGATTAGGACAGAGCTCAGCGAAGAGTGGAGGACTACGAAGAGTGGAGGACTACATAGCTGTGAGAGCCAATAGGAGGCCGGGTGCAGCCTGCTGCAGCAGGAGGCCCAGCCTGGGCTTTCCCTGCACAACCTCAGCGCCAGCAGAGCAGTGCACGCCCAGGACAGAGACCTCCAAAAAACGGGCCCTGCAGCCCTACTACTTTGGACTGAACCAGCTGCTGGAAATGAAGTAAACTCCGGCTGTTTAAGCTACCCCCCATGGGTGGTGCTTCGTGTGACAGTCCTCAGAGCATTGAGTTAACACACCTGTATGTGATCATGCGTGTGCCTCTCTGAAAGGACACTCTGGCTGTGGGACTGCCCTGTCCTCCTCAGAAAGCCAGGTTGGGCCTGCCCTGCTCACCCTTCTCACTGCGGGTCTTTCCTAAGAGTGAGCTTTGCCATGCGCTCCAAATGTGACTTTTCCTCCCAGTCCTGCCCCTTTTGCAGTAAGAACACTTAGAGAAAATGCCAGACAGCAGGCTTCACACTATTGTTTTGCGCTACTTTGTATTTTTTAAAATTGAAAGCCATGGTAGGTGTCACTTGGAATCTCAGCACTGGGGAGGTTGTGGCAGGCAAATCACAAATTCCTGAAGCCACCCTGGGCAATGTAGTGAGACCCTGTGTCAAAAAATAAAGTGTGTTCATATAGTTGAAAAAGTTTACATGTATACCCGGGACAAAAAGCGTGCAACATTTTCTGAGATGACTTCAGTCATGAAGATGATTTGGCTGCAGTTGATTGATAGGATGATTGTTCTAGACACATCCCCCACTCATTCTTACGTGGCACATCGGTCCCTGGAGTTAACACGTAATCATCAAGCAGTTGTAGTTTGTGATACTGGAGATGGATCCCAGGGCCTTTACACTGAGCTGCACCCTGAGTCCCTTTTCTTTTTTTCCCCACTGTTTTATTTTGAGGCAGCAGCTCACTAAATTACCTGGGCTGATCTCAAACTTGTGTGCCTCCTGCCTCGGCCTCCCAGAGCGCTAGGATTACTACCAGCCTGAGGCCAAGGTGCAGGCTCTGACTATCCACCCGTAGCTATGGAAGAGGCCCAGGTCTCAGGCTGGGAGAGGGGCGCCCGATACTTCCTGGAGTGACCAGACCCCATACTGGCTCACTAAGGTGATCCCCTTCCCCCTGCGGTGCGCCCTCGGTGTCTGCTGAACGAGCAGCGGTGCTCACACTTCCCACTAGGCGGCACCCGAGGACCGCGAATTGCAGACCTGGGATCCCAGTGCGTGAGGGACTGAAGCCGAGAGATCGCGAGTTACCGGCCAGGCGGGGCTACAGTGACACCCTGGCTCAAAGACAAAAGAAAACCGCGCCAGCAACGGCGCGTGCGCGCAGGTTCCATCGTGTGCCCAGACTGATGCTAACCGCGAGAGGTGCATCTGAGCCACAGCCGGGCTTAACTCTAACCCCAAGGATTCTAGAGGCTTGGACCGCACAACTCCCACTTGCAGCCCCTCAAAGGCCCAAAGCAGGGGGGAAGCAGGTTGCAGGGGAGCTTGCTGGGGGAACGGGTCCTTCCCGCTCTTGCTAAGAGAACGCGATTCTCCGCGGATAAATGGAGGCACCAAGATGTAACGAGCCGAGGTCCTGGGTGAATGGGATCCTCTCGGCCGGTCTGGGACAGGGAGCTGGTCTCTCCGCTCCACAGCCGCGTCACGCCGCTGTCCTTTGTGAGGTGAATGGCGGCAGAGCTGGTCTGGGTAACAGCAGATGCGGAGCCCTGGGAAAACCACAGGCTGGAAGGCTGAATTTGGGAACTGACTCAGGGACTACTTAAATCGTCTTTGCATTCAAAAAGACAATGAGCACCCTTGCTGCTACCTCCGGGTTACCAAAGTGACCCCTCTACCCTGAGTCCTCGGCTGACGTTAGGGAGACTTGGCCGCCAGCGCGCTTCTCCGCCGCCGCCGCCAGAGGGCGCAGTGTGCGCATCATCTGCTCACCGTGGCCTCCAGGAACTTCCCCACCGGGAGAGCCCTGTCTTCCTAGGCCCTTGACCCTGGCAGGCCTTATGCCTATGAGTGACTTATAAACCCTCTCCAAACTCTCTAGTAGCTTCGTGCATCTCCACAGTCAAAGCCAAAGACTTTATAATGGGTTACACCTAACCCTAACCCACATGGCACAATGTCAATTTCAATGTCATTTCAGGCTCCTGTCTCCCAGCCCCTCTTGACCAGGTGTGATCGCACCCTCTGCCTCCACCTTATGTCTGCCTCATTTCCCACACCCTCTCCGTGACGCAAGTGGCTTCATTCCCCAACATATCTCTGGATGCTGATCATTTTCCTGCCTCCAGGGCCTTTGCACTGGAGTTGCCCTTCCCCAGGATACTAACATGGTTTCTTCCTTCATTCTTTCTTCAAACATCACATTGCCAGGGAGGGCTCCCCTGACCACCCTATTTAGAACTGTAATCCTTTCCATCGAGGTGAGCTGATACACACTTGTGATCTCAACTTTGTAGGAGGCTGAGGCAGGAGGATCTCAAGCTCAAGGCAATGTAGACAACTTTGTGAGACCCTGTCTTAAACTTAAAAATAAAAAGGGCTGAGGAGGTAGCTCAGTGCTCTCTGGGTTGAATCCCCAGTACTGCAAATAAATACCTAGCACCCCTTTTCATACACCCTTACTTTATTTGCAGAACCCCAACTGCCCCCAGCATATGACTTCTCAACATTGCCTTGACTGTCAGAATTTCTAAAGGAGGAAATGTGGCAGGACTGTGGCAGTCAGAAAGTACAGAGGGGAAGCACAGGTGGTGCATCCCTAAAAGCTCCGCATCCTGGGAGGCTGAGGCAGGAGAATTACAGGTTCAAGCCCAGCCTGGACAATTCAGTGACTCACTCAGTTCCTTATCTCATTAAAAAGAAAAAAGAAATAAAAGCTGAGAGCTGTGACCTTAGGAGTTTGTTAGTGAATAAACCTTCCAGTGTCAGACTCTGTGCCATACCAACACAGGCCACCTACCTCCAAGGGTGGCCTTCTGTGGGATGGAGTTTAGGACATGGCACAGCCTTGAGACGAGCAGAGAGGGCTGGGGTGGGAGGTCGAGGGTGGGACCTGCAGCCTGGCAGGGTCGTGAAGGCTGCAGTGAATGGCTGGGAGGTGCAGGGAGTTTTAGCAGGGAGAGGGGTGTGTGCTCTACCCTCTGCCGCATGCAGCTGGGGCAGTTGTTCAGTGCTTCGGGGGACACTGAGCACACCTGGACCAGGCGGGAGCAGGGCCTGACGGCTCTGTGTTGTTCCAGGTCCTGCAAGTCTGCCCAAATCTGAATCTGTGTTCTGCTTGGATCTATGGCTGAGGAGTTTGGGATACAGATGTTTGGTACCAGGCCACAGGCACACAAGCACAGGTGGCAAGGGAGGTGTGGCCCGGCATGCTGAGGGCAGTGCACAGCTGTGTGTGAGAACTGTCTGGCTTCTGCTGTGTGGCACACACCCCTTCCCTTCCCAAGCACTCTACTGTCACCCAAGACCCCTTGAGTTCCGGATCCTGCAGAAGGGAGACATGCAAAGACCCACTCAGAAGCCAGGCATGGTGGTGCACTCCTGTAATCCAACCACTCAGGAGGCTGAGGCAGGAGAATTGCTGAGTTGAGACCAGCCCGGGCTACAAAGTGAGCTCAAGGCCAGCCTGAACTGCATAGTGAGACCCAGTCTCAAAAAGACCAAAAAAGACCCAAAAACAAAAACCCTCACTAAGCCTCCAAGGTGTCACCATAGGGTTGCTCTCAGCACCTGGTTTGTACCTTCTGGGGCCCACGTTCTTGAGTCCACCATCCTTCCTGGAGGGCAGCAACAATGCAGTCTCACCAGCCCCACCCACCTGACTCCACCCTCCCTGCCAAGCCCCCTCCAAGAGGTATCTCTCTGTGGCCAGAAACAAAAGAGCTGTGTCCACCCCCAAGGGCAAAGGCCCTTGGGATGGTTGCCATCTGTAACGCAATGGCATTCTCAGAAGAAAACCCCTGCCCTGCAAAGTGGATGGCGATGGGTGTAACTCTAGCTTCTCCAGCTGCAAACTCAGCATGGACATGAGGCTGGTTTCGCTGACTTTTTTCTGGGGGTCTTAGGGTGATGCGCCCCCACCTCTGGGTCCCCAGGAGACCTTCGCAGCCCATGGTTCCTGGATTGTAGGAACCTGCATGGCTCAGGACTCCAGAGCCCACTGTAGTCTGTTCCTATAATCCACCTCCAGGGCCCCTCTATGTCTGTGGGGTTGGATAAACACAGCTCTGAGGGTCCCATAGCCAGCTCAGACAAAGCCACCTCCCCAGCACCAAGGACCCCAGAATCCATGTGTTAAATGTGTTTCCCAGATAACTTTCTGTAGCTCATTACCAAGATCAGGGTCAAATGCGTGAGCCGTAGGCCCTGTGCCCTCCAAACTGGCGAGGCCAGACGCATAGGGATGTTAAAGTGACAACACATACGTGGGTCCCCAACATCTAGGATGGGAGAACAGCCAGCAAGGGCCATATCACCCCAGAGTGCTATGAGTTGCCCAAGTCAGAGGCCTAGAAATCAACTGGTAAATGTTTTTATTTGCATGTTGGCTTGAGATCTCATCTCGAGTTCAAGGAGGCGGTGGAAGTGAACCATGTGGACAGAGGGATGTGGAAAGAGAACCACCACCACCACCACCACCCCGCCGCCTCCCTTTCCAAGCTGAACACAGAGCATAGGTGACGGAACCCCACCATCTTAGTTCCTTTCCTGACATTCTTTGGGATGCTAAAAGGAGTCGGTATTGAAAAAATAAAACAGGGGCTGGGGATTTAGCTCAGCGGCATAAGCACCTGCCTTGCAAGCAGGCAGTCATGAGTTCGATCCCTGGTAACGATAAAAAACGAAAAAGACCAAAAAAAAAAAAAAAAGAAAGAAAAAAGAAAACAATGCACACAATATAAAATATATCACAGAGCGAGGCCCTAGAGGAGCTGCCTGCCCCACTGCCCAACTCACTGCACAGCCCAAGAGGTGGACACGGTGGGGGGGGGGCTGCAGCAGGAGCCCCCCTCACAGCTGGTCTTCTTGTTCTCCCTGTCCCCGCTCTGCCCCGGCCTCTGCCCTCAGTACCCTGAGGCCCCTGCCCTCCCCTACCCCAGGTACTCTCCTGGCTGGCAGTTGGGGAGTGGGCCGGAGGGCTCTCTTGCACTTTCTAAACCATGAAAAGCGCCCAGGAGTCTGGAACCTCACTGTCTTGACCGGTTTCTGGCGCCTGGCTCCTGGCGCTGCCCCTATATCCCCCTGGGCTGTTGAAGATCCTGCTTCCTGGATAGCCTGGGCTCCAGCGCCTTCCCTTTGGTCAGCACTGGCCTCCACCCTTTGATTATCTGCAGCTCCTGCTCCCTGGGAAATGGAGGCCTCCACCCCCTGACCATCTGCAGCTTCAGGCCCTTGCTCAGCAGGGGCGGCTGCCCCCTGAGCCAAGGATGTTACCTCCTCCTCCTTCTTGCAACGTCTGAAGGAGGCCCACGTGATCTTGGGCCTCCATCGCCTGGGGGTGCGCTCCGGAACACCCTCATCTCCTGCACTGGCCGGGGCAGCCTCCTGCCTAGTGGATGCCCCATTTCTCTCCCCAGCCACGGAGGACTGGTGAGCCTCAACCTCCACAGGGCCAGATCTCGATGCCCGACCCTTCACCCTGTGCTTCAGCTTCCCCGGGGGCACAGGGCTGGCATACTCTTGCCACTTGTCTGCCTTGGCCAGCTGGGGCCCCAGCTTGTCCTCAAACACTGGCACGGGCGGGTAGGCACCATGGACGGCACGTGGCGCGCTGGGCTGCTTCTCCCCGGGCCAGAGGAAGGCCTGGACAAGTTCCTCATCATCCTCCTTGTCCAGGTCGTTCCCCAGGAACTTGCTGCCCAAGTAACTAACCGGCATTCTGCGGGCCTTCCGGGCCTGCCCCGAGCCTGGGCCTCTGAAGGTCTCGAAATCACTGAACTCACTGTCACTAGCGTTGCTGCTGTCGTAGGTGCCCACGACCAGGCGAGGCAGAGGAGTGACCACCTGCTGGACTCGCCTGGTACGAGACTCCTTGGGCTTTTTGGGGCGCTGGGGCGGGTGCGGGGTGCTCTTCTCGATGATGCGTGCCACGTCCTCCAGGGTGCGCCCTTCTTCTTCCAGAAACTGGATCAGCCGCTCCCGAAACTCCGCTTCCTTGGTAGCGGGCTTGGAGATGACCCTCCACACGCCCCCGGCCAGCCTGACCTCCCGGGGGATGAGCAGGTAGTCCACGTCCTCCCCGATCTGCAGCATGCCCACCGTGGAGTCCTCTTCCTTTCGGAAGACCTTGCCGATCTTCTTAAAGGTCCCCACGGGCTTCAGGGCTTCCACGAGGACGTCCAGATCCACGTCTTTGCAGACATCGGGGACGCTCCAGAGAATCAGGCAGTCGGGGGACGGCAGGAAGCCCCAGGGGAACCAGCCCCCCACGTGGCTTTTCTCCAGAGTCTTTAAGATCTCCAGGGTGAAATCTGAGAGGGGGGCCTTAGCCCTGAGGAAGGGGCAGGAGGTCCTGGCCAGCCGCCGGAAGAGCGGAAGAGCCGCGCGCGCCCAGCCGCGGTTGCTGGGCCCCACCTCGCCGAAGGTCGGCGCCTGCAATAAGTCCAGTCGCGGCCGAGTCTTCTCCCCCGAAGGATTTGGGGCAGTCACTTCCCGACGTGCTCACGTGAGCCGGGATGAGGTCTGGGCCGAGGCTCCAAGCCCACCCTAAGGTGCCAACGTGGTGTCCGGGCTCCAAGATGGGGCGCCCAGGCTGCGGGAGCTTCTTCCTGCCCGCCCCCCACCCCACCCCGTTCCGGAGCCAGGAGCGGGACTGGGCACGCAGGAAGGGATGAGGAGGTGACTTCGTAGACAAAGACGGCTCCGCGTGGGGCTCCGCAGCCCCCAGGAGGGTCCCCGCCCGCGCACGGTGACCTTGAGGCGCCCTGGCAGTGGGGCCCACGGCAGGAAGTTCCGCGCCCTCTGAGCCGGGCCCACCTCCCCTTCTCAACTTACACGCAGACTGACAGGGGGGCTGTCCACTCCCCTCGGGCGGCCTGCCTTCCCTGCCCTCCCCCAGGGGTGTGGCCGCGCCCTGGGCCTCACTGGGGCCCACGTCAGCGCCTTTGCCCAAAGGCTGTGGCCCAAGCTGCCATCGAAGGTCTAGGTTTCCTTGTGCCAATGGAGCCGGCCTTTGAGAGCCGTGACACCGACCGATACCGTGATAAATTCGCTGCACTGTGGGCACCAACGCTGCCCACCCCATACCCAAGCGTGTGGGCAGAGATGGTAGAGGGTCTTCCAGCCCTGGTCCTTAGCACAGCACTTACTGTAATTTGTACTCAATAACTTCTCTTTTTTCTTTCTTTCTTTCTTTCTTTCTTTCTTTCTTTCTTTCTTTCTTTCTTTCTGTCTTTCTTTCTTTCTGTCTTCCTTTCTGTCTTCGACACAAGGCCTTTGTGTGTAACTCAGGCTAGGCTTGAACTCAGTATGTAGCTCAGGCTGGCCTTGAACTTGCAGTGATCCTTCTGTCTCAGCCTCCCAAGTGCTGCGATTACAGACATACTCCACCAAATCGGGCACTAAACACTTTAGAGTGAATGAATGAGCCTAAATGCTCATCGGTAGTGAAATGGTGTTTTTCAGCTAAAGATATGCTTATAGTGAAATGCTATGCAGCTGGAGAGAAGAGTAAGGACCTCAGGGTGCTTTCCATGAAACCCTCACCATAATGCTGACACAGCGTTCTGGTTACACAGCTGAGGAAACTAAGACCCAAGGGAATCTCCTACTTAAGGTCCCATAGCCAGGCAGTGGTAAAGTCTGGATTTGAATTCAGAACAGCCTGACTTTTGCATATAGCAGAGTCCAGATATGTATCTAGGTTGGTTACTTGCACAAGAGCTGCTGGGAGTAGCTACTTCTGGGAAAGGGGATCCCCCCCAGGCAGGAGAGACATGTACTTTTTTAGAGAGGTACCAGGAATCGAACTCAGGATCTCGTATTTGCCAGGCAGGCACTTGTACTGCTGAGCTATATCTCGGGCCCCAAACAAGGCATATACTTTTTTTTTTTTTATCGGTACCAGGGATAGAACTCACGACTGCTTGCTTGCAAGGCAGGCGCTTATGCCGCTGAGCTAAATCCCCAGCCCAGGCATATACTTTTCATGCTGCATCCTTCTGAATTACTTGAATTCTGAGCAATCAAAATGTTAATTAGCCAGGTGTGGTAGTGCATGCCACTTGTAATCCCCACTACTCAGGAGGAGGCTGAGACAAGAAGATTGAAAATTTAAGGCTGGCCTGCACAGCTTTAGTGAGACTTTGTCTCTTAATAAGATTTTAAAATAGAGGTAGGAGGGGATGTAGCTCAGTGCTCCACAGGTTCAATCCCAAATGCTGCCCCCCAAAAAAGTTAAATTCAATAGACTTCAGGTCCTTAGACCTACCCCACACGTCCTGGGTCAGGATCTTCAGTTTCCTGGGTAATTCTGAGGTGACCAGCTCAGCAACAAAACAGACCACGCAGCTGCCACGGTGGTGGTAGAAATAGCAGTCACTTTGCTTGGAACCTATTCTTGTGTGGGAGTTGAGGCTCATCTGAAGCCACAGAGCCCTAAGCAGAGGATCTGATGTTTGTATCAAGTTTTAAACCACGGATCCAACTCTCAACCTCGCACTTGCCAGGCAGGCGCATATGCCCCTGAGCTAAACCCCAGCCCCTGTACCAGGCTTTAAGTGCTGGAGTAAAGAACCCAGCAGTGCATGGACCACATCCAATTCTCCCTGGCTGGGTACCTGCTTAGAGGAGCAGGCTCATCACATGCCTGGATGAACACAAATACATTCCAGGCTCCTGCTCCCTCTTTGTACTGTGACACCTCCACCCAGCAGCTGGGAGAGGGAGGGCTTTTATTTTTATTTATTTATCTATCTATTTATTGTCTTTTTGAGACAGGGTCTCGTTATGCAGTTATGCAGGCTAGCCTTGAGCTCACTGTGTAGCCCAGGGCTGGTCTCAAACTTGCAACAGTCCTCCTGCCTCAGCCTCCCAAGTGCTGCATTTTTCCAAACTAACCCTTACATGAACTCCTCTCCCTACATAGTAAAGAGCAGACTACAGTTTCATTAGCTGATATTTATTTTGTCGTTTCACATTTGCACACCAGATCATCCACCATGAAGAACAGTAAAGAGTTTTAGATAAATCAGCTTTTGAAATCAGGGGTCATAAGGCCACCAGCTCCACCAATTTCCTTGTGAATTTTCTCTTAGCATTTGCTCCATTTGTGATGCCTTGACTCAGGTAGGTGACCTCAAGTGATGGCAAGCTGTACACCAAAGCCTGTGGCGTTGCAATCCCACAAAACTCTTCAATACAGAAAACCTCCAGTGGAAGTGACAGGAGGTTCTGATTACACAGGTGACATTGACCCACCACTTACATCGGGTATCATGAGTATAAATGCCATATGGGGAGCACCTGAAAACCCACAAGAAGCACAGATATTGTTGGAAGATGTGATGTGATAAGAAATGCCACATTGTCCCTTATGATACAACTACAATGCCTGGATAGGAGAAAGGCATGCAACAAACTCGTGTCGTTTGTTTAAGCTCAGACTCTGACCGAATGAGGGACAGTAGAAAAATGTCCTATCAGTAAGTGCACCCAGAGCCAGGGATTTACAAGGAGGGAAAAGATGAGTATACAGCTACAAATTTCTTGACCACAGATTTGTAAGCAGTTCAAACATACGTCCAAAGAGGGCAGGAAAGCTTGACCCCAGCCAACGCACAAAAAAAGGATGCAAAGGCTGCTGCTGGGGGACCAGCTTGAAAAAAGGCAGAAGACTTCAAGGTTAAATCAACCAAGTGAGTTCTCTGAAACTCCTTTTTGTTTCTCAACACCTGCCGGAGTGCAGGACTTAGTAGGCTCCGTTAGCAGGCCCGAGGAGGAGTCTCTTGTCTGCACCTGTCACCATCTCTGTAGGGAAGACCACTGTGGGGAACAGTGGCAGCTTTTCAGAGCCACACACGAGGCAAGTTCCCCTGCTGTGGTGAGCAGATGGCCTCCTGGTCAACCAAGGCTTCTTGACACGAGAATGTTTCCATCCAGGTAAGTCTGCGCCAAAGGCGCCTTCAAGGATGTGCTTTTGAAAGATAGAAAATGGGTGTAGAGTTTCTAGGGACAGGATTTCTAGAAGGACCCAAACCCAGAGAAGTCTCACCACAAGAAGTAGCTGTCCCCAACATCAGGGTGGCAGTGATGGCCAAGTCTGCCTGTGAAGCCTTTCTCCTGAGCCAGGAATCTCCTGACGCATCTTTCTGGATCTGTTTGAGTTGTTCTCAGTTCTGGCAAGAGACCTGAAAAGCTTCAGAATCTGGGACCCGAGTCTCCTGTCCCATCTCCTGTAAACTGCAAGTGCCTGAGGTGGCCCAGGACACCATGGCAATGGTGGGTTTCAGAGGGTCTCCCAGTTGTTAGACATTGTTTGCTGGTCTTTGAGACCCTTTATAACTCAAAAGTCACCTTCACTCCTTCCAGTAACACCCATGCCCACGCTCCTGTGTGGCCCGCACACTCTCAGTGTTACCCACCGGAACCCACACTGAAGATGTTCAGGAAATACTTGTTGGTTGGACAAATGAATGACACATCTGTCCCCAGTTGGGCAGGATCTCAGCTCTTACCTACATCTATCTGTTCATATATCTCCACTCACTGAGCTGTGTCCGAGGTGTACAGTTATTACCCACTTACTGTAAGACCCATGAAGACTGGGGTTTGTGCCCCTCAGTACCCCCAGTTTTAGTACAATGCTGGGACATAGTAGGCGTGCAATGAATATCCAGAGTGAATGAGAGGAGGAAGGAACAGCAAGCACTCAGCCAGGTGTTTATGGTACCCACCCAGCTGCCAGTTTAGGTGCACACACTCATGCCCACCAGTCAGATGTCACCTGTGCTACTCAGAGACATTACTCAAAAGTCACCCACCCACTGGAGTAATGCCCACCCCCCCAAGTTTCCCACACTCACTGGCATTGCCCAAACTTACTCAGATGGGTGCCTACCCCACCCTGCTGCCACCATACTCAGGTGACAGCTACTCTCACACACATGGCCCCCAGACACAGCCAAGGTGGCCTCACAGTTTCTTGTCAGAGGCATGGTGCCATCACTCGATTTTCTTGTGCTTCTTGCCTCTCTTGCCATCCGCTGCCTTGTTCTCCTCGGGGAAGTCCAAGGGTGGCACCATATCCACCCTGGTGGTGACCTCTGCTGCAGAGTTCTTCCCGGGCAGGGGCACATAGCACTGCCTGGGGGCAGCTCGCTGGGACCTGCTGCTGGGGGGCACGGTTCCTCCCTCAGCACCTGGCTGCTCTGCTTAGGAATTCCACATCCCGTCTGAGAGCCAGCACACCACTCCCCACGCCCCTGCCCTTGCCTTTGATCTCCCCAGGCATCATGGATGGCATGGTTGTCCTCCACCAGATTGAGATTGGCAGATTTGGTTCTCTCTTCCTCCAGCAAGGCTTTTCCAGCCACTTTAAATTTTCCCAGAGGTCTGAGGGGGTCCTGTCTGATCTCCTACAGCTCCTCGTGGTTGTGGTCCTCCAGGATCCCCAGGATCAGCAGGGACTTGTAACTGTCTGCCTCCCACCCCTTGCAGCCATGCGCCAGTATCGTGATGTCTTTCACACCGAAGAGCATCATGCGCAGCTCCTTGAGGCAGCCGTATGGGCGCCCACTGCTGCAAACCTGAGCTGCCTGGGGAATCCCCAAAATGACCCAGGATGCCCCGATCTCTTTCCAAAGGCCGCATGAGAATGAGTCTCACAGGTGGAGGCCACCAACAGACCCAGCCAGCTCAATCAAGGCACTCCAGCCCCTGCCACGGGGCAGCCTCCTCCGCCTCTGTGAGAGCACAGTCTTGGGAACTCCCAGAACTCGCATGTGCTGGGGACTCAGGGGTGGGGGTCTAGCAGCTGACTGTGCTGAGTCAGGGAGGCGTCAAAGACACTGTTTCCCTTTTATCAGCAGTGGTCTTCAAAGTCTTGCATCTGCTGATGGTCTCAGCAGATGCTGCCCTTGGTGCCCAGCTAACAAGAGGATGTGGCCGATCACTGACACACTTGCTCTGCAATGATTGTCACCACCTCCTTCCGCCCTGCAGCCCTGCGGTTTCCCTGGAAACCACAGAGCATTGCCTGGGTCATTGGCCAGCCCTGCTGCCTTGAAATCACAGTTCAAAGAGCTCATGCCGAGGTGGGAGATCAGCTACCTACCTGCAGAAGCATCTGCCCTTCCCCTCTGAGAACATGGCTGATTCCAGGGCCCGAGAGACAAGGAAGATGGTCTGTAGAAGATGGTCTCATTTGGTCTGTAAAATGATCCTAGGACAGCTTTTGGGGTCAGAAAGGAAATGTTGGGGCTGGGGATTTAGCTCAGCGGCATAAGCGTCTGCCTTGCAAGCAGGCAGTCGTGAGTTCGATCCCTGGTACCGATGAAAAATGAAAATGAAAAAGATAAAAAAAAAAAAAAAGAAAAAGAAAGGAAATGTTCAAAGAATGAGGAGCACCCTGCAGGACACAGGAGCCTTCTTGAGGTCCAACTCTGAGATGATTTGAACACTGATAAGAGTAACCAATCATAATCCCCTGAATAAAATAAGAATCTGAGAGTTCATTGACATAGAAGTGAGAGGGAGGTTGGGTGAGGAATGTGTGCAGTTTCATGGTCTCAAAAGACCTGCCCTAGACCTTCGAGCCATGGGAGGAGAGACCCCGGTCCTGCGTCCTGAGTGCTGGGGATTGGACCCAGGGCTTAGTGCACACTAAGCATTCACAGAACCACCGAGCTGCACCCCACTCGCTGGGAGACGTTATTCGGAGAAGGTATTCTGTACTCCGAGGCTGGCAGTGCTGAGAATCTCCAGGAATCCACGTCACACGCCTCATGCCTCTGTGTGTCTCTGGATCCAACCAATCCCGAAATGACACCCTCTGAAACTACCTTTAAAACAGTTTTATTGGATTACAATGTATGTAGTGGGAAGTTCACAGATTATAAATGAAACCCTGTGAGCTGAACATGTTGTGTAACCAGCACCCAAATCAATTAACTGATGCCCAGAAAGGCATGATGTGCTTTCTCTGGGTCACTGTGTGCTCTTGAGAATAACCACTCACTGATTTCAACAGCTTAGGTTGTTGGTCTACCTTTGTCCCCCCGCTCCCCGGACTGAACTCAGGACCTTGCATTTGCCAAGCAGGCACTTACGTCACAGAGCTAAACCCTCGGTCCTACTTTGATGTTTTGTATAAATGGATTGAATAATGTGTGCTCTGTGTTTCTTGGTGTACCTATCTGTTGGCAAATGCTTAGCTCTCATAAATATCACAAGTGTCATCAATGTTTGGACCACTTTATCCTCCCACCTACCTGTGTGCCGAGGTTCCAGGTTCCCTGTCTCCTCCTCGGCACTGGGTATTATGAGACCCTTCCACTTTGGTGGTTCTGGGATGTAGCTTATTGCAGCATCTCCTAAGTGGAATCTTGTTGTAGTCAGGGGTTTTGGGGAGAACAATTAAAATCAGGACAATGAATTTATACTATTATTTATGATGGTCACCCAGAGTTAATGCAAGAAAGTGCAGGAAATTTATCCACAACACTAAAGACAGAATATTCAGCCAAGGGCCTAAATCCCACAGCAATGTCCTGCATGAGTCTAGATGAAGACCCAGAGCTCATGACAATGCCTCCCACGAGTCCAACTGGCGGTCTAGAGCCCACAAGGACTCACGCGAGTCTCTTTTACAGATCTGTGCTGGGAAGACCCAAAGGTCAGCAGTGGAAGCCAGAAAGTCCATGCCAGCGGGATGAAGGAGCTGTGCTGATAGGTTGAGGGTTCCATGCTGGAGCCAAGTCACACTCACAACAAAGACCAGGGCTGTCCTGAAAAGCAATATAGCCATTCTCAGTGATGTGAAGGCCCCGAGCTCCTCCGACAATAAGCACAGTCGAGTACCTGCCAGGAAGCCAGCATGATGAGTTCATCCTGGAGACCAAGTGGCACACATCTTCCGGACATGGAGCCAGGAAGCAATGCTCAATGTGAGGACTAGAGCTTCTCCAGCAGAACCAACGGCTCAAACAGCAACTCATAGAAGAACCCACAATGCCTCAACACCTCAAAGCCTCTGCTTCTCCTTCCCCACCTCTCTATTTATGCTGGCAACTTTCCTCAAATGGAACATCTACGCTCAGCACCATGGTGATTTAATTCAGATGGTGTTAAGTTGACCACCAGTTTTTAACCCATAACAAATCTAATTTTTGAATTTGTGTATTACTCACAACCAATCACATTGAGGATTTTTTTTTTTTTTTCAGATCTTAGTGGCCATCTGGATATTGTATATTGTGAAGAGTCTGTCAAAAATCTTTCCCGTTTCTCTTTTGGTCTGTCATCTTTTTGTGACTGCTTTATCTTTCTCTATGTGTGTAGATAGTACCTTCACTGTTGAAGCTGAGTTTGAGACAGCCAGGGGCCACCATGTGGGACAGAAGTCTGGAGTGAGGGAAGAAAGCCGTGGCTGCAGTAAACTGTCACCCTTCACAGCACAAGCACTTCCACCAGACCCAAGGTAAATACTGGTGCCATCACCGAAGCAGAATGTTTGAAGAAGATGAAAAACTGTTGCCAAGAAAAAGAAAAAAACCCTAAACAAGCCCTCCAGCCCCACTTGCTCTTTTTTTTTTTTTTTTTTTTTTTTTGTCTTTTTCATTTTTATCGGTACCGGGGATCGAACTCACGACCGCCTGCTAGCAAGGCAGGTACTTATGCCGCTGAGCTAAACCCCCAGCCCCCCCCACTTGCTCTTGCTCAATTTACAGTCCCCAGTTTTGGAGCCACGCGGCTGGAGGGCACAGTACTAGCTCCCCACCGCCTCTCCGTACAGACCGCCCACCCCTGGCGAGTGGGCTGTGAGAACAGTGCCTGGTTACTTCCAGGGCACCTGAGGCCACTTCTACTGAGCACAGCGATCCTTCCCCGGGCCTGCAGCTGTCTGGTGGGCGGCTGGGGTGGGATAAAAGGCCTGACACTCGTGCCTTTGTCATATCTGTCCCCTGTGCTGTCCTAGCCGTGGGGTCAGGTTCTACTGGGCTTTGCACGTAGACTGTGGACGATTGAAGAAATGTTGTGTCTGAGACCCCGACTTGGTGAGCTAGGCCCGTGGGAGCTGGGCTGTGTCCCGCTTTCTCAGCAGCCCAAGCACTGGACGTCCTTCCCTGTCCCAAGGCCAGGGTGTGTATGGGGGAGATGTCGCCAGTGGAAGGGGCAGCTCGGCAGACCCTGAGAGAAGCAGACCTCCTGTTAGTCCACCACGCTCAAGGCTGGGATGTGAGGACCGAGGCGCCAAATACATGAAAATGCACCAAATCTAAGACAAGATGACCGTGACTGACTGTGATCCAAGCCTGCCGGGTCTCTCAGAACAGAGCCTCTGGCCAATTATTGGACTTTGTCCTGGCTGAGCAGACCAATAAAAACCTGCCACTCTTCATTCTGGGAGCAGCAGCTTAGTCACTCATCCAATTGTTGGTTCCCTTCAGCAAAGCCCCCATTTGGCTGAAGCCCCTTTTGCCCTCTTCTGAAAAAACTCTTCCTGTGCAGGAATGTGCATGCTTACAGCATTTGACCTGGTCTCACTGATTCTTCTGTGTGCCAAAAGATCCCATCATCTACCATAAGCCTGGGTGAAATTTCCTATTACTTGTATCCCAAAATCCAGTTTACACAGGAAAACTTGAGACAGGAATGAATCCCAGCATGCTGGGAGGCTGAGGCAGGAAGATTACAACCTCAAGCTCAGCCTGGACAATTCTGCTACTTAATGAGACCCCATTGCAAAATAAAAAATAAAAAAGGCCTGGGGATGCAACTCAGTATGAAGGCCTTAAATTCCATTCCCAACATGAGGAAGGAAGGACAGACAGAAGCGACTTGTGTTTGCTGTGCACCGCATTTGGCCTGATCCTTTTCACATCTAATAGTGATCATGGCTGAACACCACAGGTTCATACAGCCGAGAGCGCTGGACAGGGTCAGTCCAGCATCCACGCACAAACCTCTTCTCTCCCATTTCAGAGATGCTTTTCCCATCAAAGTTGTTCTCCCTTCTGGGTCCTCCTGGGAGCAGGGAGGCTAATTAGGGACAGGGCAGGCAGGATCTGCGAAGGACCTCAAGGGACAGAGTTCTTCTAAGTGGGTGTCACCATCAGCTCCACATTTGCCCTCGAAGGCCCCACGCCCGCCCCTTGCAATGGTCCATCCTGATCTCCCAGAACCGCAGTGCTCAGTGGCAGCATGGGCACCTCAGTAAGTATAGGCAGTGCCTGTAAAGAGGGAGTGGTGTCACACAGTGACACTGACTGAGTCTTATGTCCATCATGAGTTAAAGGAAAGTGTTTACATCAGAGACCACAAACCAGAGCCTAAGTACTGGAAGCTGACCTTCTGCTCTATCTGCATGAGTCTACTTTTTTTTTTTTCAATTTTTTTTTTGGTTTTTTCATTTTTATCGGTACCAGGGATCGAACTCACGACCGCCTGCTTGCAAGGCAGGTACTTGTGCCACTGAGCTAAATCCCCAGCCCATACTTTTTAAAGGTTTGAAAAAGTGACTGACTTTCAAAATTAAAATGTAAAAGAAAATGAAGATCTCTGGTTTCTCTTTAAAATAATCTGCCTCGTACAATGGCTCACACCTGTAGTCTAGGTTACTGGGAAGGCTGAAGCAGGAGGATTGCTAGAGCACAGGGGTGGGGCCAGCCTGGGCAATGCAGTCAGACTTTGTGTCCTGAGAGGGAGTGGAGGGTGAGAATCTGTCAAAATGGGCCCTCATGTCCCCTCATGAAAATCTGAGGGAAAAGATAACAGGAAATAGGGAGGTAGATCTTTTGCAAATGGGAAGGGAACCAAGAGCTGGAGGGAGAGTTGGAGGAGTCATAGAGGCATTGAGATGTGTTATGTACAGATACCAACTCCTCAGGATGAAAGTAATCATATGCTGCAACATTTATAAAAATAACATTAAATAATCTGATTTTAAAAAATCTGTTGGAACTGGGGCAGGGGCTGGATGTAGCTCGTGGGTAGAGCACATGGCTAGCATTCTGGGCTTGATTTCTAGTACTTGCAAGGAAAAAAAAAAACACCTTCCATTCCATACATAGCAGATCATCATGACACAGATCATCATGAACTTCCTTCAAAAGCTGGAGACAGGTTGGCCATGCAAACTATGTGCCCGAGTTGTGACTCCTTGGCTCTCTGCTCTGAGTCCCCATGCCAAATGCAGAGAGAGGCCAGTGGCAGAACGGTTCTTTTATTTGATCCACCAGTATTTACTAACAGGTGTGCTTGTTCCAGACAGTGGTGGCGGGCTGGGCACACTTGAGAGAGACAGGCTGCACTTGAAGGAGTGTGGTCTGTGGTTATGACAGGCACAGGGGAACTCTGCCATTGTCTGGCAGGGGGAGAAGCCCTGTAATTAACAGAGGGCACGTTCTTTAGGGACAGGGAGGACAAAACAGATGGACTGGGCTGTGTGTGTGTGTGTGTGTGTGTGTGTGTGTGCGTTTAAGCACTGGGGATTGAACTCAGAGAGTCTGGAGCTGCATCCCCAGCCCTTTTTATTTGTTTATTTTTTGATGTTTTGACACAGGATCCAACTAAATTTTTCAAACTGGCTTCTCACTTGAGATCCTCCTGCCTCAGCTTATCTAGTAGCTGGGAAGACAGGCATGCACCACTACGTCCAGCCCATCTATCTGAAATCATCTGGGGAGGACTTATAATACCTAATGCAATGTAAAGGCTATGGAAATAGTCGTTAGGCTGTACTGCTCAAGGAATTATGAAAAGCAAATGCCAGCTGATATTCCACATGGATGCAAATTTTTCAAATATTTTCTATCTGCGCTTGGCTCAACCTGTGCACGTGGTACCCGAGGATGTGGACGGCTGGCTGTACACCTTAGCTGGTGAGCCTCAGTGGCTGAGGAGGCACAAAGCAGGAAATGAGGTGGGAGTGGCAGGTGGCAGAGGGTGCAGGGAGAGCCGTGGGAAGGTTTTTAACTTCCTTACATTGTGCCTAGTAAAAGCGATGTTTCAGAAGAACTCAGAGGAGGTAGCAGAACACCCTGTGACTATGAGAGGGAACAGTTCGGAGTGAAACAGCCAGTGCTGAGCCTGAGGCTGGGGCCTGCCCCGTGTGTCTGGGAAACAGCAGGGCCCATGGAACTGTGGGAGAAGAGAGGACAGGGAGGGGTGCAGACAAAGTCTGAGAAAAAGCAAATTCCCTCCCCCTCCCCTTTCCTTCAGGTCCGAGTCAGGTGCAGACCCCTGCAAAAAGCTGAAAGTCACCTGACATCCGGTCTCAGGGCGGGTTCTCTGTATAATGCCACACGCACACTCGCCCTGTTTGCAAACACTTGGAGTGGACTCAGAGGGAACAGACTTGGACCCTAAGGGGCACCCCCCTCTCCGGCCCCAGGCAACCCAGGTCCTGTAGAAAAGGGCGAGAAGCTCAGACACTGCGGGCCTGGAGGGTGAGGGCCTGAGCCTGGAACTCCAGCTCTGGTTGGGAGTTTGCAGTTTGAGATTACTAAATCCAGAGGGATGAAGGCCTGGGGTCCTTGTCCTGCCTGGAATCCTGGTTAGATCAAGGCTAAAGGCTGTTACTAACTGGGGTTGAGGTAAATTTGGGGGCACAAGGGCGTTCAACTTGTGAGTTCTGTATTGGATTGTGTGCTAGACCCTCCAACTCCTGGGTTCCTGGTGGGCTGGGGGCTGGAGGCTTGGTCAGGCTGGCTTCAAATTGAACTGGGCGGAGGAACCTCTTCTGAGAGCCAGACGCTGAGGCAGTAGGGCCCTGTCCTTTGGCCACCAGATATAATCAAGGGCTAGCCGCTGTGTCCAGAAGTTGGAGGCTTACGCGGCAGAACAACGATGTCTATCTTTCGAGGCAATTCCTGCCGGGGTGCAGCTACACCCACCAAATACAGTATTCAAATCTCAGAGAAGAAAAGCGGAACACTTTTGGCCCGCCTAGGCTCCCGTACGAGGGGGCGTGGCCCGGAAGGGCTCAGAATGGCGGCACTACACAGTGACAGCGAGGAGGACCTGGTCAGCTATGGGACGGGCCTGGAGCCTCTGGAAGAAGGTGTGGGGCCAGTTGGTCGGCAGGGTCTGTAGAAAACAGGCTGGGGGCCAGGATTCAGGTTCGAACGTCCTCTTTAAAGTTTCTGCCTACAACGCCTCTATCGCCCAGAGAGGCAAAGAGCCGTGGGCAGCAGCAAAGACGTCCCCTCTGGTCTAGTGCAGGGAGTGTACACCTGTGGCTGCCGGGAGCGAGGGACCCAAGAAGGGTCGCAAGAGGCCGCGGAGCTCTAGAGAGCAAGAGTGGGAAAGGACTTGATGGAGAGAAACCAATAGAGACGAGGAAGTATGAGCTCAAGGGAGGTGCACGTAGCCAATCAGAGGGAGGGATACGAGTGCACGCGCCGGGAGCCAATGGGCAGGCGAGGGTGGGACCTGGAAAAAAAAGAGTGCTTGGAAAGGATTGGCTTGAGGGTCTGAGGTTAGGTCGCAGGATGGAGACTCAAGGACAGAAGAGGAAAATCAGAAATGTGATGGGAAGGGGCAAGAAAGAAACCAAGGGTTGAGTTTAGGGCTTCCAATAGGAAAACTGAGGGAAATTAAAATTTTGGGATAGTCTTTAACAGTTCGGTGGGAGATGATGTAGGGAGGACCAGGGGCGGGACGGTAAGAGAATTTACCAAAGGTCGGGGACCATAGGAAAATTAGGGTGCTGGGTGTGGTGGTGGTGCATACTTGTAATTCCAGCACCTGGGAGGCTGAGGCAGCAGGGTTGCCACGAGTTCGAGACCAGCCTGGGCCTCATAGCGAGATCCTATTTAAAGAAAACGAAAACCAAAACGTAACAAAAAGAAACATTGGAAGTTTATTGATATACTTCAAGAGGCAGTAGGAGAGTTTCAAGAATGACAGGCAATGTCAGGGTGAGAGAGTTGTTTGTTTGTTGGTTTGTTTCAGCCTCCCTAGTGCTGGGAGTCGTTTGGTATTACACCCTGCGAGCGTGGGGTTTTTATAAGGGGTTGAAGACATGGGAAAGGATCTGAGATGGCAAATGGAGACATCTTAAATATGCATTTCCCACAATTCTTGTTACTTGTTAATATTCCAGTAACATCTATATTTGTTTAAGAGTGTACATCAAAGTTGCAAATCAACAAGCTCCATTACTCTGCTCTCACAGAAGCTTGTTTAAATAAGAATATACACATTAACTCTGAGATTGAGGCATATTTGGAGGGCTGAATAGGTCTTATATTTTATCTGTGTTTCTAGGCAGCTTTGTGCAGTACCTCATAACTGCAGAGAAAGAGTTTTAAACCCCTCTTCCCCCCTTTTTTTTGATACCGGGGATCAAACTCACCACGTCGCATTTGCCAAACAGCACTTACACAGCTAAGCTTACACTTATTTACTTACACCACTTACACTCCCAGCCCCATCACCCTTTCGTGACCAGAAAAAGGATTTGGATAAAGTCAAGAATGAATTTACAGAAAATTAAAGACATTAAGAGCTTAAGAATTTTGAGGACCCAGGTTTGGTTGTGCACACCTGTAATTGCAGCACTCCAGAGGATGAGGCAGGAGGGTCATTATGAGTTCGAGTTCGAGGCCTGCCTGGACTACATAGTGAGTTTAAGGGCAGCCTGAACTACATAGTGAAACCTGGATTTAAAATAAAAACAAAGAAAAAGGAAAAGCTGTACAGGGTGGCGTTTACCTGTAGTCCCAGCTACTTGGAGTACTGAGGCAGGAGGATCACTTGAAACCATTCTGGGCAACATAGTAAAATGGCCTAATAGGTAAAGTTATAGGTAGTTATAGATAGATAACTACTTTTTAACATATTATCATACTTTGTGAATAATAACTATAATAGGACATTATGAAAAAATATAGTATCACAGTGACCACTTTTAAAGTGTTTACTGTGTGTTCCTTATTCTTGTTAAGAATTCTATAGAAATTACTTTATTTGCATAACTATGAAATAGCTGTTAGTATTAATGTTCTCATTTTGCAGATGAGGAAATTGCAACAGAGGGTGAGCTGCTGACAGCTAGCACCAGCAAAGGTGCAGTTGGCTTTAATGTCTATAGCACTGTAGGCTCAAAAGCAAGTCCTTAGCCACTGAATCTGCTTTCTATTCTGAACCTTTAAAAAATAAATTAGTTTTTAAAAAATTAAATAAATTCAAAAGTTTGAATTGGAGTTGGTAAAATTAGCTAGTCATAGTACATGAAACTGTAATTCTAAAAGAGTTCTAACTTTGTCCAAAATGTATCAATTGCCCTTTGCTTGTGTGAAGTAGCAACCCAGCCCTTTTCAACAAAGCATGACAAAGGAATAAGTTTAAAGAACATAAACTGAAAAATAAGGAGATTCTTAGAATTTAAGGAAACTTAAGATTTGGGTAGGGCTGGGGATGTGTGTTCAGTAGTAGAGCTCTTGCCTTGCATGTACAAGGCCCTGAGTTCGATCCCCAGCTCCTCCTTCCAAAATAAAAAGTCAGATTTGAGTAATTGAACAATACTCAAAGTATTCTGGAGACAGAGATGCTGTTTTAGGAATTTTGGAAGAGGTACATAAGTGTTATACTGTTGTAAACCTCTGCATGTCTTGTCTCCTTCTTTGCCAAGAAATTTCTTTTCTTTTCTTTTCTTTTCTTTTTTTTTTTTTTTTTTTTTTTTTTTTTTTTTTTTTTTTGTTGGTACTAGGGATCGAACTCACGACTGCCTGCTTGCAAGGCAGGCGCTTATGCCCCTGAGCTAAATCCCCAGCCCCAGCCAAGAAATTTCTACTCTCATCTTTTTTTTTTTTTTTTTTGATACTGGATCTCACGTTGTATTCTAGGCTGGCCTTTAACTCACTATTAGCTCACTGGCCTCCACCTCATAGCAATCCAGCCCCCACCTCTTGAGTGGTGGGATTATACGTGTGCACCACAATGCTTAGATGTTCCATCTGTTTGAACTGTCCTCCTTAGTATAATTTGTTTTTTGTAGTGAAATTTAGTGAAAAAGCAGGAAATTTTTGCTATAACTTATTTCTATATAATTATCATATATAGTTTCCAAAATATTGTACAGTAGTACCTCAATTCATAAATGCTTTTGTTTGCAAACCAAAGCTTTTGGCAAAATTTTGTTTTTGTTTGTAAACTGCATCAGCTGACAAAACAACCACAGCCATCTTTCTTATACAAACACAAACACAAACGGGGCCATCTTTTCCAAAATCATAGTCCAAATTAAGTTTGTGACCCAAAGTACCACTCTATATTTCTTTCTATACTGTATTAACATTGTAAAATCTAGCATAGTAATTTACATTGTTACATTTGAAGTAATAAGAAGCAAGCAATTCCTTGTGTTTAAGAAACAAAATTTCCCCTAATTCTTGCTAACTCAACCACATGGTTAAAAACATTTTCTTGGGCTGGGGATTTAGCTCAGTGGCATAAGTGCCTGCCTTGCAAGCAGGCAGTTGTGAGTTCGATCCCTGGTACTGATAAAAAAGAAAAAGACAAAAAAAAATTTTTTTTTCTTTTTTTCAGGTGAAAGACCAAAGAAACCAGTTCCTCTTCAGGACCAAACTGTCAGAGATGAAAAGGGAAGGTATAAGCGATTTCATGGAGCCTTTAGTGGAGGTTTCTCTGCTGGGTACTTCAACACTGTTGGCTCAAAAGAAGGTATGGTTTCCCCACTTATAGCTGTCACACTGCTAAAGCAAATAATTGAAATATCTTAAGATTTCTTCCCCTCCCCTAACTTTAAAAAAAATTTCTCTAACCTTTTATCAGATACACAGTAGTCTTTGGTGTACTTTGAATGCTTATAATGTTTCCACAGTTAACTTCTGTGTTGTTCATTCATTGCAAACTGAAACAGGGAAAGCATTTTTTTTATACTTTATAGCAAATGGATACATTCTAATCTGCTGGTTAACCATGATAATGAGTATGGTTGAGGGTTTTGCCATGCACAGTGCCCTTACAGTTTCACTCAGGAGGATGACAGATGTCCAGGTATTTTGCAGATAAGGCCACCAAGAGTGAAAGAGGATAAGAAGCCAGCATGGCATTAGAGCTGCCCCAGGGAATCATCAGCTGCTGTCTCCTGACACTGGGGACCACAGAATGACTGGTTGTTACTCACTTTGACTTACAAAAAACTTAGTTAAAATTGTCACATTACATAGTATAACCAGTTCTATGTTACTAAAACAACATACACAGGGTTTCTGACACTGTTGTTTTGGTGCGGGAGACAGAACACAGATCTCCTGCATGTTAAATAGGCATCCTACCCCACAGCTGTAGTACCCACCCCGACTCTTTAGATATGTTATGGCTGTGCAGCTTGCTGTGGCTCTGGTCCCAGGGTAGTCTTATCTTTTAAAGTAACCTTGCACCTTTCCACTCAGATCCACTTGTGTTGTTCACAGTTCATTTACTGAGACAAGATTTAGCTACATTGCCCAGGTTGGCCTTGAACTCAGGGGCTCAAGTGATCTTTCTGCCTTAGCTTCCCAAGTAGCTGAGACTACAGGGGCCCAGACCCAGCTCCTTTAATTGTTTAACTTTCAAAATGGAATTTTATTTCACTTGGTATCAGCTTCTTCTGAGGAACCTTACTAAAGCCACTAAGAGCTGCCGATAGGAGCAAGAAAAGTTCACAAGTTCATGTAGAGTAATTACGTCCATGTAAAAGTGAGATGGGCAGTAGCTTAGAGTCTGTAGTTACTGGCGATTTCAAGTCCTTCCATGTCAGTTATTTAATTATAGCAAAAAGCTGTCAAGGATTATCAAACTGAATTCTGCTTTCTAGGATGGACACCCTCCACCTATGTGTCTTCACGACAGAATAGAGCAGATAGATCTGTTCTCAGTCCTGAAGATTTTATGGATGAAGAGGTAGGTATGCAAAACGTAAATGCCAGTTAGCGGGTGGGCTGTGTGTGGCTGGTTATTGTGGCACCTTCCCTTTCTCTGGAATCTCCAATGTGCAATTTGCTCTTTGCTTCTAAGGTTTTATCACTACAGGCATTTGCACTACATGTGCATCGATGGATTTTCCTGCACTGGAGCAGTGCCTTATTCTGGAGCCAGTTTCTAAAGTCAGAAGTATAAGAGGAAAGTCACATGTGACATATTACTTGAATTAGTTTCAGTTGTCCCCAAAGCACTGTCTCCTGGTGCTTAGCCTACAGCTTTTTGCAGTAACTCATATGCACCCAATGCTTTAAGGAATAGTGGAGCAACTAGATGAAAATTAAATCTCTTTATCTTAAAACCTTGGCCTGGGGGCTGGGGATTTAGCTCAGCGGCATAAGCACCTGCCTTGTAAGCAGGCAGTTGTGAGTTCAATCCCTGGTACCAATTAAAAAAAAAAAAAAAAAAAAACACCTTGGCCTGGATTCATCATAAAGATTAAATAAAGGACTTTTACGGCTGCACGGAGGGGAAAGGTAGCATAATCGTTGCTGGAGTAGCATAATCTATTAGGAGACTGTGTCAATCAGTTTTCTGTCACTGTAGCAAAATACCTGAACAATCAGTTTAAAGGAGGAAAAGTTTATGTTGGCTCAGGGTTTCAGAGGTTTTAGTGCATGGTCAGCTGCTCCATTGTATTAGGCTTGTAGCGAGGCAGGACATCAGGCAGGGAATGCAGGGGTGAAGCAGAGTTGCTCACCTCACAGCTGCCTGGAAGCAAAGAAAGGGTGTGAGAGAAAGGGCCAAGGGCCAGATGCCCTTCAGGCCACACCTCCAGGGCCTACTTCTTCCAAGTAGGCCCTGCCCCCTGAAGCTCCTCCCACTTCTCTATAGCTCGTTAAGCTGTGGGCTCATCAGTGGGTGAATCCATGCATGAGGTCAGAGCCCTCCTGATCCAGTCACCTCCCAAAGGTGCTGCCTCTGAACACTGTATTACAAGCTGTCAACATGCAAGCTTTTGGGGGACATTCGAGACTTGTATTAGTCGGCTTTCCCGTGTCTGGGACAAAATACCTACTACCCAAAAGTTAAAAGAGAAGAGATTTAATTTGGCATATTAAGTCCATGGTTATCTGGTTCTAAGGCAGAACCAGAATGGTAGAGGGAAATGATACAAGAAAGCTGCTCAGCTGGGGCAACCAGGAAGCAGAAAGAGAAGGGTGGGCTGAGGACAAGAATACCTTTCAGGCCGCACCTCTGAGATCCAGCCCTGCAGACCCTGCCTCCCAGCAGCACCTTCAGCCGCTGAACTTATCCATGGAGGAATCCACTGATGAGAACAGCACCTCTGACTCCTTTATCTTCCACACTCGAACCTTCTGGGAGATGTTTTAGATCTACCCTGTAAGAAGATCCAAACTGTGATAGTCATAAATCGTGTCTGATGAGAAGTTTACATGCACCGAGGCCTCAGCACTCTCTTGTCACCTTCTCCCTATCAGCCCATCCCTATGTTACCCCTCTTTGTGGTTGGAAGATGGGGGCAGTCGTTCCAGTTGGCACATCCAGGACACTGTCTGTGAAAGGACTTCCTTTCTGGTGTCCTGTCCTGAGTGCAGAGAAACCTGTCGCCCTAGTGCTGCAGTGTGTTTCCCCTCACACGTGCTGGGAAGAACTGTTCTCCGTGCCCTTTCCTAGTGCAGTCTGGGAAGGGAAGGGAACCAGGTGACTAGCTTGAGTAAAACATGAACCCCACTTGCGAACCCTGACCCCTACAGTGGGGTATCTGTCCTGAAGTGAATAGTGACAGAGATGAAGGCAGCAACTTTGGGGTCTGTGAGGAAAGCGGGAGGCACAGTGACTGTTGGAGAGGCGGCCACAGCACCTGGCTGGGAAGTGCAGAGCTCTGTGCTTGGTACCTGGGAGCTCACAGGTGCTCGCTGGCTGTGAACCCAAGTGTCCTTTCACACTGACCTTCGATATTGTTGAGAAGCACTGGTTTCCTCTCTCCAGCGTGGTGTTATGTGTGTGTGCTGCCACTGAGTGCCAGCCTTACCTTACGCAAGGGGAAAGGGCTTTGTAAATTAGGGTATGAAGTGTGCCACTTTCCAGCTAAATTTTGCAGTTTTAACTTGTTTTTTTTTTTTTTTTCTTTTAAGAAAAAGGAGTTGAGGGGAAGCTGAGATAAAAAGATCTCAAGTTTGTACTCAGCAGGGGTAATTTAGCAACTTAGCAAGACCCTGTCTCAAAATAAAAAAAAAAAATAATAGGAAGGCCGCTTAGTGAAAGGGCCCTGAGATAATCGCCAGTACTGCCCCAACCAAAAAATAAATAAAGAAAATAAAGAAAATTAAAGTTATGTCCTGTATCATGATGAATCGCTTCCAATAATGTAATTCTGTTTGAATTTCTTTCTTTTTTTTTTTTTAAGGATCTTAGTGAATTTGGGATTGCACCTAAAGCAATTGTCACCACAGATGATTTTGCTTCCAAAACCAAAGACAAAATACAAGAAAAGGCCAGACAGTTGGCAGCTGCCACTGCCCCCATCCCTGGAGCCACTCTGCTTGATGACTTCATAGCACCAGCAAAGTGAGGAGGACTTAATTCTGATTGTGAGACCTTCATATGTAGGGGTAGTTTGGTGGCAAGTAAGAGCCACTGTCTTAGCCAAGAACCCTAAGCACAGGGGCAGGCATTGCGGACACGGTCTTGTATCACTGCTGCATGGAGTAAGTGGAGAGCCCAGGCCCTGGCTCTGCTGCTGGGGTGCAGGGAGGCTGGGGTGCTGTGGGGCCTCCCACACAGGCCTGCTGGGCTCTCCTCGGCTGCCTCGCTCTGCCCGTTTCCTTCATACTTCATCCTGCTCCTGGGCACGTGGCTGCCCAGGCAGCCTCAGGTCTTCGTGGTTTCCACGGCCATGTGCGAGGCAAGGACAATCTACAGTCCCCTAGCATCCATTCTGAAGGCTGGGGAGACAGGACGCTGATTATGTTCCCACACTCGGGTGCCCAGCACACCCAGTCCCCTGCGGCTGGGCCAGCAGGGGTGCGAGTGTAAGCTGGCTGTGGGGTGAGCACAGGCCGGCGGGCGTGAGAAGCGCGGGGTCCAGGACCCAGACGCTGCCTGCTCTGTACTGCAGGTGCTGATGTTGTAAAAGAAGTTCATTTCCTGTGTCTTGACATCCTAGGTTATCTGTGGGTTTTGAATTGCTAAGAAAAATGGGTTGGAAAGAAGGACAAGGAATCGGTCCTCGAACAAAGAGAAGGCCACGGCGACAAAAACCGGGTATGTCTGTTGGTTGTCATGTATTGTACAGCATGCACTAGATTCTTTCTCCTTGCCCCTTGTTTTATTGTTGTTTTCGTCTTTCTGTTTTTTGAGAGGTTCTCACTAGTTCAGGCTGACCATGAATTATATTATTTGGAAGTGATTCAACATGATATATTACATACTTTTAAGTTTTGTTCTTATTTTTTTCCTTTTGTCCATTTTATATAGCCCAGGGTGATCTTTTTTTAAAAATACACATTTTTATATACATAATGATGCCGTTCATCGTAGGGAGTTTGTGTCTGTACATCCTATACATGGTATGCATTGTTCTTTTTTTCCCATTCCCTTCCGCTCCCTTCAACTTCTCTTCCCTTCCTTATTTACAAAAGCTTTGTTTCCATTTTACCCTTCTTTTGTCATTTTTTCTTTTCCTTCCTTTCTTCCCCCCTACCTCCTCCCCTTCCCATTTGAACATTTTCTTCCCATTTCCCTATATGTGTTATATATTTTGGTCCTTATTTACACTTTCAGTTTCTCACACCAGAGAAATATTGTAGTATTTAAATATATGTGTCCGATTAATTTCATTTAAGAGTGTGATCTCAAGGTGGATTCATTTAGCTAGAAATGTCTCAAGCCTAGCCTTCTTTGTGGCAGAGTAGTACTCCATTGTACAAAAAGACCACATCTTGTTTATCCATTCACCAACTGATGGGCATTTGAGCTGTTTCCAAGATTTGGCTCTTACAAAGTGTGCCATCATAAAAATAGATACGCATATTATCACTATGGTATTACACTTCTAATTCTTTCAGAAAGATATCAAGAAGAGGGACAGCCGGATCAATTGAAACCTCTAGTTTTAGTGTTTTGAGGAATCTCCACTCTGATTTCCGTGATGGTTGAGTCAGTCTACACTCCCACCAACAATGAGGAAGGGATCCTTTTTCCCCATAGCCCCGCCAGCATTTGTTATTGGTTGATTTCTTGATGGTAGTCATTTTTTTCTGGGTTGAGATGAAATCTCAGAGTTGTTTTAATTTGTGTCTCTTGAATGATCAGTGATGCTGAACATTTTTCATGTATTTATTTGCTATTTCTACGTCATCTGAGAATTGCCTGTTCATTTCAGATACCTTTGGATTGGGTCTTTAAATTTGAGGGGTCTGATGTTTTAAGTTATATATTCTAGATACTTGTCCTTTGAGGAATAGCTAGCAAAATTTTTTTCCACACTGTAGGTTGTCTCTTCACTCTGCTGATGATTGCTTTTGCTGTATAAAAGCTTTTTAATGAGATCTCAGTTGTTGATTGTTTATGATATTGTTGTGCAATTAAGGTTTTGTTTATAGCTTTGCCTACCCCAATGCTCTCAAGAGTTCTACATATTCTGTCTTCCAGCAGATTCAGTGTTTCTGTTTTAATATTTACATTTTTGATCTATTTGGATTTTAGTTTAGTGCATAGTGAAAGATATGGGTCTAGTTTTAATGTTTAGCATGTGGAAGGCCAGTTTTTAGTCCAGACTATCTTGAACTCAAGCTCATATCCATCCTCCTGCCTCAGCCTCCTGAGTACTTGCACCACTACACCCAGCTCTGAGGCTTTTTATGTGTAGTGGGTTGTAGCTCCAGAGGGACTGTTCCTGTCCGTGTTCCCATCAGCAGTGTAGGAAAGGTCGTGTTTCCTGTCCTCACTTGGAATTCCATCACAGTTTAACCTGAACTCTGAGTGCATCCAGCATTTCCTGGGAGCTCTTCCTGGGGAAGTGATGTTGCTCACTTCCTGTTGCCCAGTGCTGAGGGGCTGGTGGGAGAATCCTCTAGTGATGTGCTAGGTGCACCTCACTAAAGCTGCAGCCCTTTGTAAGCACAGACATAAGCTTCTGAAGAGGGCCCATGAGCTGGTTTTGTTTTGTTTGTTTGGTTGGTTGATTATTCATGGCTAATGCCTTTGAAATCTCTTTTCTAGATCCTGGAGTAAAAATCTATGGCTGTGCATTACCCCCTGGAGGCTCAGAAGAATCAGAGGTATTGGGTTCACTGGTTCACAATCAGAGGTATTTCTTAATGATCCTGAGATTTTAGGGTTGGACACAATTTTAGAAATCAGTCGCAAGCTGGATATAGTGGCTCATGTCTGTAATCCAACATTCAAGCTGAAGCAGGAGGATCGTTGCAAGTTCAAGACCAGCCTGGGTTACAAAGTGAGCTCAAGGCCAGCCTCAACTGCATAGACCCTGTCTCAAAAAGACCAAAAGAAAGAAATCAGTGAGATCTTATTACCATGGAGCACCCATCCCCTAAAACTCCTCTCATTCTGTCAGATAATACAAGGAACACACCTGCACTTTAGATAGCCTTAGTCTGTTCATTTTCATTATGGAGTTGAGTTAATACCATTTGTGCAAGGATGCAACTAGGTCACTTGGAGCACTGTAAATGAACGTTTGGTAATTATCTTTTGGGAATTAATCACTGTGGGTTTTTTTGTTTGTTTGTTTTTGTTTTTGTTTTGTGGTAGTGGGGATTGAGCTCATGACCTTGCACTTGCCAGGCAGGTGCTTATGCTGCTGAGCTAAATCCCTAGCCCAATCACTGTGTTTTAAAATAATATTTTGTGGGTTTACTTTTTGCCGGCCAGTGAGTCGCCTTAATGCTGTTTTAAATGTTGGAAACAGGATGAAGATGACGACTACTTGCCAGATAACGTGACCTTTGCCCCCAAAGATGTCACCCCTGTGGATTTCACTCCGAAGGATAATGTGCATGGGCTGGAGTACAAGGGCCTGGATCCCCACCAAGCACTGTTTGGAACTTCAGCCGAACATTTTAATCTTTTCAGTGGGGAACCCCAGGGGGCCAGCAGTCTTCTTGGAGATGCTGGACTAAATAAAGGAAGAAAACTGGGAATTTCAGGCCAGGTAAAAGTGTTTCTGTGTATAAAGGCAGAACCACTAGTAATTGAATACACTTTCCATGCAGACTTTGAAGTGGTTATGTTTTCCCAGCATGTTTTCTGGAAGGCTCATAAGCACATGGTCTTGATTTTAATAAAGGGCTCCTAAGAGCCTGTGCCCATCTGCTTGATGGAGTTTACATGTTTCTGGGGTGAGGATTGCTTTCTCGAGTTGTGAGCCAAGCAGAAAACCACTCGTTGATTTTTCTTGTGAGACAAGAACTCGCTATGTATTTTAGCTGACCTTGAACCCGATCTGTAACCCAGGCTGGCCTTAAACTCACAATCCTCCCACATTAGCCTGCATAGTACTGGGATTACAGGCCTGCACGCAGCACTGCCTTACCCTTTGGGTTAGTAATATTCTAATTACAGTCTGCCTCTCCAAATTTAGGTCCAAGTTTTACCACCTCTTGGCTGTTTCCCAGTGCTTCGTGTCCTCAGCTGGGGACACAGGGTTAATCTTTACTTGGAGACTTGCTTTTTACTCTTGGAAAGATGGAGAGTGTTTCCTGATTGCCCATCCTCCCAAATGAATTCAGAGCTCTTTGTTAAAATGCATTTAGAAAACAAGAGCTTTCATTTCATTATTACTTTTTCACTCTAGTTCTCTAACAAAATTGAAGTTGTAGAAGACTTTCCCAACAGGACCAGGAGTCCTTACAGCTACCATTGGAGGAACAGTTGTATTCAGACCGGTCGCCAGCACTGGCGCTGGGCCACAGTGGCTAGGGGATGCATATCGCTGCATGGCGTTTGCTGCTGGCTGCTGTTTTCCAAGAGATTTGAGGCTGTGTTAATCTGGGGCTCTCTTTCGCTTCTTGGTGATCAGGGTATGCTACTGTGACCCATTGATCGCATCCTTCCAGGAGCTCTGCCTTCAGTGCAGACAGTGTGGAAGCTGTAACTGCTCACTGTGAAACTTTATTTTTTGCTTCTCCTTTTTTTTTTTTTTTTTTCCTTTTTTATCGGTACCGAGGATCGAACTCATGACTGCCTGCTTGCAAGGCAGGTGCTTATGCTGCTGAGCTAAATCCCCAGCCCCTGAAACTTTATTTTTTGAAGGCTTTCGGTGTCGGTGCCCTGGAAGAGGAAGATGACGATATTTATGCCACAGAAACACTGTCCAAGTATGACACCGTCCTGAAGGACGAGGAGCCTGGAGACGGACTGTACGGCTGGACCGCACCCAAGCAGTATAGAAGTCAGAAAGGTAACTGCACAGACCTGCACCCCAGGGTGGGAGTGAGCATGAGGACCCCAAGAGGAAGCAGCTGCAAGATCCATACTGGAGCATTGGCCTCCAAGAGTGAGAAATGCAGGGGAGAGGAGAGAGGTCTGTGTGGGATGGGAAGGAGAAGCGACATTTAGACTGGACCAGAGCCAGAGCCAGAGCCAGAGCCAGAGCCCGCCATCAAGATGGGGCTGCGCTGCAGAAGAGCGAGTGTATCAGCGCCAAGCCCCCCCGCAGAGCCGCTGTGGGTCAGAGGGCTCAAGGGCTCGAGGACCTGGCGGACAGCCAGCGTAGGGGAGCAGCTCCAAAGCCCAGGCCCGGGCCTGGGAGTAGGGGCCCTTGCAGCCTGCAGCAGACACAGTCTGTCTCCCCACTTGAGCCCCTGGCTCTTTTCTGTTTTAAATTAGCGTGTGCTGATTTCACAGACTGTTGGGTTACAGTGTCGCCTGTACCTTGGATCAGATCCATTCCCGTATGTCCCTCCAGCCCCTTCCTCTTGCCTAATCGCCTTCCTGGGGAGCTCTCTGCATCAGCATAGACTGAATCAGGTTTGGCGGCTCCAAGTAGGCATTCAGGTTCCATCCGGGTGTGCAGGGGACAGACAGTGGGGAGAGGTTCAGAGTCAGCCAGCTCTGCCGCCCACGAGGCCAGGTCAGGCTGCCTGCTGCTCTGGGCGTCAGAGTCTTGGTGAAGTGAGACTGAAGTCTGTCCCAGAGGTGGGCATGGGATGACCAGACGCTGGCACACAGACTGCCTCCCCGGCTGAATAAACAGCACTTCCTGTTCTTTGATTATAGTCACGATAACAGCTTAAAAAGTCAGGAGGTGAGCACTGAGGTAGAACTAATCTATTCAGACATGTGAGCTGCCGTCAGCTAAGGTTTGATTTAATACTTGTCAAATTTATTTAAACTCTGTTGAAGTAATCTCTTACAGAATATATACATGTGAACAGAACCTCCCAAATAATGTCCTTTTACATTTTTAGTAGAGAAAATAGCAAATGCAAACAATTATTTGTTTGTTTTCATGGGTTTTGTTGTTGTCTTAGAAATGGCTCTCACTGCTGTGATTTCTATTTTACCCATTTTCCTCTTGATAGTTTTTCTTGTGACCTTTGACTCCATAGAATATCCCTAGGCTTACCACCCACCAGTCAGTGTGTAAACAGAGGCCCGCAGGCTTTACACCCGCTCTGGCTCCCCCACCCTGCCACCCCCCCCAGGGAGCTCACCAGTGACATGTACTGTGTGTAATGCTCATGTCTTTTGTCTTACTCTAATTGTCTCTGTTTCTCAAATTAATTGATGACATTATTTTGTAGAATCAGAGAAAGATCTTCGATATATTGGCAAAATTTTGGATGGATTTTCCTTGGCTTCTAAACCTTTATCATCTAAAAAAGTAAGAGAGTTGTTTTTTTATTAAAACTTTTTTTTCCTTGGATTGGTACAGTTACATAATCTGACCTGTTATGTTTATTGAAAATATAGGGAAATTCTGCTTTCCAGAAAAACATATTCTGAAGCAGAACTGTGAGTTGGGGTCAGTATGGACCATGTCAGGAAACAATGTCTAGAAAAAAAACTTGCCTTAGAAACATTAGTCAGTAGCTGGGTTGTGTTCAAAACGTCCAATTGCTAATCCCCCTCTCTACCCCTATCCTGAAGGGACAGAATTCAGGGTGACATCACCCGCCGTTTCTTTTTTGAAGTTTGAGGTAGGGTCTCACCAAGTCATCCCACCCCAAAGGGCTCAGATTTACAATACTTCTGCACTGAGATTAAAGGTGCGCACAGTTATGCCTAATTTAATTGCTAATCTTTGAAATCCAAACTTCAAAGTAATGTTTGTTTCCCTTAGAAGATACACGCCAGGGGTGGGGTGGACAGACCAGTGCTTTGTGGTAGAGCGCGCTTGCCTGCTGTGTGCCAGCACCTGGGTTCCCTCCCCAGGACCACCGCTGCCATTCCTGATGCAGTGTAACCCCAGAGAAAGTAGGAAAATCCCCCCAAACCATCAGGACCCACAGTCCTGATTCCTCCTGGCTCTGAAGCCAATGCAAGCCAGGTTCCTGGACTCCACAGCTGTGGCTGAGTAGAGGGGAGAGTGGTGACCAGTGGGTCGGGTTTAGGGGAGCCTAAAGGCCTTCTGGACGGTCAGGAACCAGACATGGGCGCTTCAGCTCAGGCAGGGCACCTGGCCATTTACCTGTCACCACTCCTTATTTAGATTAGCCCACGCTCTAATCCACTTTACTTTCTTCACTCAGCAAACATTTGTTAAGCACCTCTAAGACATGGCCTGTGGTTTTTCAGAATAGAGGAGGCGGGCAGTGCTGCCTGAAAAACCACATTCAGCTTACAGAGGCTTGGCTTTGTTTAGTTTTGATAGTGAGACTTTCTAACAACAAACAGATATTTAGCACGGTGCTAGACATATAGTAAGTAGCTATTACTCCCAGAAATGTCAAGTAATACCAAAGCAGAATGTGAGTTCTTGACGTGGAAGAAAAGGAGGCGTAGTTTAAAATGACAGAGATACACTCATTTGACTTAGGATTCAAACATAAACGGCCCCCGGCTTGGGAATGTGGCTTAGGGTAGTGTGCTCATGAGACCCCAGGTTCCACCTCCGGCCTCCGGCAGACACACAGGTCGCCAAGTCCCAAGCCTGGGGAGCCCCACCAGCGAGGGTGTGGCACAGGCTAGCAGAGCATGACACAGAACAGCAGCTGGCAGTGCTGGCAGTGGAGGAAAGGCCGAATCCAGGGGTCCTGGAAACCCCTCCCTGGGTGGGGCTTTGCTCAGGAATGACTCTGAAGAGCTGGTTCCCTCAGCCTCCTACAGGTGGACCAATGTCTTAGGTAGGTGGCTAAAACCCAGCCACTACCCTGGGAGGCCAAAGAGAACCAAGAGAGGGAGAGAGATGCACTGGGTCCAATGGGGATAGGAGGATGGGGCATGCGCACACCCCTTTTTTCTCCCAGGTGCTTCTGGATCTCCTCTCCTCTCTGCTGCTTTTTCCATTTGCTTTCCTTTGCCTTTCTTGTTTTCTGGTCTGTGATTCTTCCTCCTCCTTCCCCCTTCCCCTCCCTTCCCTCCCCCTCTCTCCTGTCCCCTACTCCTCCTCCTCCTTTCTTTTTTTTTTTCTGTATGCAGTACAAGGCATTAAATCCAGGCCCTTCACACTGAGCTCCATCCCCATCCTTTTTCACTTTTCATTCTGAGTCAGGGTTTTGCTGAGTCACTGATCCCCCCGCCTCACACTCTTAGAGTGCCGGGATTACATGTATGTCTCCCCAGCTTGGGTCCTTTGTTCCCTCCTTTTTCCTTCCCTCTCTCCCTCTCTCCCTCTCTCTTACAGGAGACTGATCCTAAAGCCTACACATACTAACCATGCAAAGGTGTGTCCTCAGTCTTCTGGGGTTTTGTGTGTGGCACCATGAGAATGTCTTGTGGCCAATTTGCAAGTCTTCTCATTTCAGAGAAAGTAATCAGGATAAAATGATTTTGTAAAGTGAGGTTGCTTGACACTGATAATGCCACTCTTTCCTGGTCTTTCGATGTAGCCACCTGTTGGACCTGACCAACACCTGGGGAGTTTGGGAAACTCCAGTGAAGGCAGCAGACCTTGTGGGGTGGACTAGGCTCAGTGCAGGCGAGTCCAGAGGAGCCAAGGCCGCCTGCACTGCAGAATTCAGGGTGGCTTGACTCTTCTCAGACCCTTCAGAATCTAGAAAACAGACTAACTTGAACTCTAGGTTAAGATGTGTTTGTTACATCAGAACGTGCGAGACCATTTAGTGTACTTGTTTAAAACATCTAATATTGGGCTGGGGTGTGGCTCAGTGGAGAACGCTTGGGTAGCGCTCATGAGGCCTTAGATTTGATCCCTAGCACCACACACACACACACACACACACACACACACACACACACGTAATATTTTTCTTCTAACTTTTGTTCTACCCTCATTAATGCCTTCACAATGAAAAACTCCTGAATTTCTCAAATATATTTAAATTTCAGTTATTTGGATTATTAAAGCTATTTTGGTTCCAAAAATATGGCCTGAGGTTTAAATTTGGAACTGAAATAGAAGCAAAGTTATCTTTTTTGTTTTTGTTTTTGGAGGCAGGTTTCACTGTGTAGCTCCTGCTGCCCTTGGACTCGTTACGTAGCCCAGGTTTGCAGCAATCCTCCTGTTTCAGCCTCCTGAGTGCTGGGATTACAGGCGTGTGCCATCACGCCTGCCTGGCTCAGAATTCTCAATTTAAAAGTAACTGGTTTAAAGCTATTATGTTTTTCACAACATCGCTCATGCTTTTCTGTTCCGTGCTCTATGGTGGGCCCGTTCTGCCTGGGTCATTACACAAGCTGCCCATCATCTTTCTTCTTGTCATCCATGCACATCCTCATTTCTGTGTAAACATGGGTGCAAACATGAGGTTCAAAATACATGAGCCCTGAGACAGTGCATCCTGGTGATGCTCCGAGGGCCACCTTGGATGCTGCTGGGAAGGAGCAGGCTTAGTCATAGCAGAGGGACAGGAGTGGATTTCCCAGGTTAAATTTAACGTGGTCTTTTTGCAGCCTGTAATGCCTGGATTTTGTTGTTTTCTTCTGTTAAGATTTACCCACCACCCGAGCTGCCCAGGGACTATCGGCCGGTCCATTATTTCCGACCTGTGGTCGCCGCCACCTCGGAGAACTCCCGTTTACTTCAGGTGTTATCAGAGTCGGCTGGAAAGGCAGTGCACGACCCAACGACACACAGTAGGCACCAACTGAATGCCTCCAAGCGGGGGGAATTACTAGGAGAGATGCCAGTCCAAGGTACGCACCACGAAATCATGGAAACCATTGCGCTGAAAAAAATCTCTCAGCAGCTTCAGAATGGAAGGTGCCGCCCCAGCTGAAGCTCTCTGTGTGCTTTTGTCCTCCCAAACTGTAGGAATGATGTCATTTCTTGTGAACAGCGCATGAATAGTGTACAAGCCCTCTCTTTTTTCAGATTTGTCTTTCCACTTTCAGTTTGTTGTAAAATTGCAACTTTTACCTTAAACTCCTCTGTTCTCAGGCATTTGTTATGCTTTAGGAATGGGGTACGCTCGCTTCATCTGCTCAACCAGGGAAAGCATGCTTTTTCCCAGGGAGGGAGGTGGTGGGTAGCTCCCCTTGTGAAAGTCCTAAAGGGATGAGTGTGCCTAACAGTCCAGAGAATGGAGAAGGCCAGCAGGGCGCAGGACAAAGAGGGGCGGGGGGGGGGGGAGAGCCTCGGGTCTCAAGGGAGTTGAGCCCTGCAGCATTGTCATTTGGGAGCCTGGTGGCATCTCCCTGAACCGAGCTGTGTGCCCACGCCCTCCCCTTCCTGCTCTCCCTGCTCTTCCCCATGTCAGTCTATGAGGTGCGCCGAGCACTGCTCGGCCCAGAAGGGAGGAGCCCCGATTCTTGCCCAGACCCCACCCCACGAGTCCTCTCAGCTCTGTACCAGCACCCAGCTTCTGGCCTCTCATTCCCCTGCATTCCGTTCCTCCTCCCGGGTCTGGCCGGCTTCTCTCACAGAAGCCCCCCTCAACCATAATGGTCCAACCAAGTGTTAGCCTGCAGATTGTCACTGTAAAACAGGAGATACATCACTGCCTACTTCCCTGGGATCTGTGAGCATAGAAACCAGACCAACCCGATGAGTCTCAGCTCATTATGTAACTGTGTGCTATGGAAAATGACCATACAAAGAAGTATAAACACCTTGTGACACTTTCCATCCTTTCTGGATACTATTTTTTTATTCAGGTTCAGCAACTTCAGTGTTAGAGTTTCTGTCCCAAAAAGACAGAGAGAGGATCAAGGAAATGAAGCTGGCAACTGACCTGAAAGCCGCGCAGCTGCAGGCCAGGAGTCTGGCACAGAGCGCAGCAAACAGCAGAGCCAGGCCCTCCTCACCGGACCTCGGACACAGCCCTTGGCACGTGGCCCTGGGTGGCGCAACAGCCCCCACGAGAGCCAGCAACTTCAGACCTTTTGCTAAGGATCCAGAGAAGCAAAAACGATACGAAAAGTTCTTACTGCATATGAAAAAGGGACAGAAAGGTGGGTGCTCATCTGGGTCTCCTGTGCCTCAATCTGCCCTCTTTCTCTTACTGTCCCCAGATTTAAAATTGAACTACTCTGCTTAGCCAGGGTTTCTGCCTGTCCTGCTGCAAAGGATGCAAAAGTTTCAGACCCAGACTCTTGAGCAGAGCAGACCCAGTAGCTCAGGTTCCTCGGTAGCCGTTCTGTAGTGCTGCCAGGGGCCAGCACTAAATTAATTTGCTGTTTGGAAATGATTGACCTCTGTCAGTGCTGCATTTCTTTTTTTTCTTTTTTCTTTTTTCTTTCTTTTTTTTTTTTTTTTGAGTTTCGGGGATTGAACTCACAACCTTGCACTTACCAAGCAAGCACTTGAGCCGCTGAGCTAAATCCCCGGCAGTGCTACATCTCTGACCAAGAGCACATTAGGTCCTGCTATATGCCAACTGTCCAGTCCCTAACCGTAGTCTGAAGTTTGACTCAGAAGCATAATGAGGCTGTTGAATTATTGACTTAAGGAAAAAGGTTAGAGGCAGAAGGAATCTCGCTGGGTGAACTTATTCTCCAAGAGTGATTCCAGGTTCTTTGCTTCAAAAAGGTGTCCCCGGGGCTGGGGATTTAGCTCAACGGCATAAGCACCTGCCTTGCAAATAGGCAGTTGTGAGTTTGATCCCCGGTACCGATAAAAAGGAAAAAGACCAAAAAAAAAGGTGTCCCTAAGCAGTGGTCTCTCGGATGCTTTTCTCCATTCTGCTTGGTAGAGTTCAATAAAAGCTCCTATGGGAGGCAGGGGCAGTGTTACCAGGGGTCCTGCCAGTGTGACACCTGCCCACGCCCGGGAATGTGAGGGGGCCCTTTCCCAGGAGGCCCTCCAGGCCCTCCACGGTCCCCCTAAGCCCCGTCTTGCCCCCTCACCACAGACGCTCTGGAGCGCTGTCTGGACCCCAGCATGACCGAGTGGGAGCGAGGCCGAGAGCGGGAAGAGTTTGCGCGGGCTGCCCAGCTGTACACGGCTTCCCATTCGACCCTGTCCTCCAGGTTCACTCACGCCAAAGAGGAAGACGACTCAGAGCAAGTAGAAGTCCCTCGAGACCAAGAGGTCTGTCACCATCGCATTCCTACCCAGCAAAGTGTGTTTTATTTATTTAGCAGTGCCAGAGTTTAAACCCAGGGCCTGGCACATACAATGCCCATGCTCTACCACAGAGCTTTATTTTCAGTTTAAAACATGGTACCATTAAATATTTTAAATCTGTCACTGAAAAGTTCAAAAGACACATGGCATAGTGGAATATGAGATGCTTTTATGCTTTGGTTTCCAAGGTACTTAAGCAAAAATACTGTGTATAGTATTTTGTAATTCTAGACAGTTGCTTGAAAATGTACTTCCGCATGTAGACACTCATCGACTAACTGACTAACCGACTGACTGACCAGAAATGCCAGACGATGAAGCTAAACACTTTGTAAGTGGACATGCTGTCAGGTCGGTTATGTGACACTTTGTGAAACAGCTCGTGTCTTCCCAGAACGATGTGACTGACAAGCAGTCCGCCGTGAAGATGAAGATGTTTGGGAAGCTCACCCGCGATGTGTTTGAGTGGCACCCTGACAAGCTTCTGTGTAAGAGGTTCAATGTCCCCGATCCCTATCCAGGGTGAGCCCCATAAAATGTTCTGCATTTTTACAAAACATGTTCTCCCACGTTCAAACAAACTTTCCCTTCATACTTTCTCCTTATAATTTCCTTTGTCTAGATCGACTTAGCTATAAATCTTTAAAGTTATGAATTTTGCAGATTCACTTTAACTTCTATTAATTCATTGTTTAAAAAAAAAACCCTAAATAGGGGCTGGGGATTTAGCTCAGCGGCATGAGCGCCTGCCTTGCAAGCAGGCGGTCGTGAGTTGGATCCCTGGTACCGATAGAAAGGAAAAAGACAAAAAAAAAAAAAACCCTAAATAGTAGGTCAGGTGTGCAGGTTCATATCTGTAATCCCAGCATTCTGGGAGGCTGAGGCAGGAGGTTCATAAATTCAAGCCCAGTCTGGGAGTTCTAGGCATTTAGCAAGACCTTGTCTCAAAATCTAAAAAAATGTTGTTCTTGTTGTTTGTTTGATTGCTGGTTTGGGTTTTTTTGAGGGAAGGTTTGCTATATAGTTCAAGCTGGCCTTGAACTCACTATGTAGCCCAGGCTGGCATAGAATTTATACTGATTCTCCTGCCTCAGACTCCCAAGTGCTAGGATTATAGGCAAGCGCTGCCAACACCTGGCAACCAAATTCTTTTTATTTTTATTTTTATTTTTGGTATTACTGGGGATCGAACTCACAATCTTTTGCTTGCCATGCAGGAGCTTATACTGCTGAGCTAAGCCCCAGATTAAATAATTTTTTTTAAAAAGCGTTGGGATTTAGCTTAGTACAAAGGGCCTAGGTTCAATTCTCAGTACCTCAAAACAAACACACACTCTAAAACCCAAATATTTAGATAGCAAACTTTATCCATATTGAAATGTGAAACTCAGATGCACCTAGTTACAAAAGCTAAATACTTTTGCTTGTCATCTTTTAAATGCTGTTCACATGTTTTATATCTAAGATATTACTTACATTTTCTTTTTGGTGGTTGTGGTCCAGGGTATGGAACTCAGAGCCTTGTACATATGAAGCAAGTGCTGTACCACTGAACTATACCACCAGTCCAATTTCTTACATTTCCTAATTCTCTATGAAAGCTCAGCCAGGTGTAGTGGTGCATGCCTGTAGTCCCAGCACTTGGGAGGCTGAGATAGGAGGAATGCCATGAGTTCAAGGCCTACCTGGGCCTGATTTCAAGGCAGCCTTTTACTGCATAGTAAGACCTTGTCTCCAAAAAACCCTAAAATAGTAAATAAATTAATTAATTAATGTTCAACATTTTCTTAACTGATTATAAACATTGCCAGAAAGCATAATCACTTGATTCAAACTATACCAGAAACGGTGGATATGTTTTAGCAGTAGAAATCGACTGCTAAATTAAACTCCAGCCAGTTGTGGTGGCTCATGCCTATGATCCCATCTGAGACAGGAGGCCACAAGTTCAAGGCTAGTCAGGGCAGTTTTCTGAGACCCTGTCTCAAAAAGACTGGGAGAGTAGCTCAGTAGTGAAGCATTTGCCTAGCATGTGCCAGGCCCTGGGTCAGTTCCCAGCACTATAAAAAAAAAGTGATGCATTCTAGCTCTTAGTATAATAAGAAAAACTCACACCTTCTAAAGTCAGCCGTCTGAATTCCTAAATTGCTTTGTGAAGTGCAGACATCTAAGATGTATCCTTAGTAGGAGAGCTGGGCAGAGAGGGCAGACCAAAAACTTTACAGGACATGGATTTTATCCTAGGATTTGTTTCTAAAACTGTATCTTTTTTTCTTTTCAACCCCTAGTTCAACTTTAGTTGGGTTACCTAGAGTGAAACGGGACAAATACTCAGTTTTCAACTTCCTGACTCTTCCGGAGACCACCCCACCGCCCACAGCACCAGCATCCAGTGAAAAAGGCCCACAGCTCCGAGGTTCGGACGGGGACAGGGCTTCTGGGGTCCCCACTGAGCAGCACCTGAACCTGTCACCTGCTAGGAGAACAGGGGGTCTGGTCCTAAGGGTACCCATAGTGTAGGCTTTCCCGCCACTACCACCCTCTCGCACCCCTCCGCCGGCTCACATTGCGCTGGTCTGGACGTGGGCTCCCTGGGGCCCGTCTGTCCCACTTCCCCAGCGCCTTGCACAGCGCACGGCAGCGCCGCTGCTCCGGGCGCATGACATGTCCGCAGTGAGGAACTCTCCTTTTGCTGGCTGATTCCAATGTCAGGCCCATGTCCTACCTTTCAGAGACAAGGAAACCATCCAGATGGGATGCAGCTCAACATGAAAAGAAGGAAGATTCCATTAGCGAGTTTTTAAGTCTGGCTAGATCCAGAGCTGGTGCCCCTAAGCCAGAGCCCAGTCCCTCGGTGAACACCGAGGAAGGGCGCACACCACCAGAGTCACTTCCAAATAAGGTATGTGAGGCTCCAGGTTCAGACCGACTGTGGCCTGGCCCTCTCTCCATGGTAACCCTTGCCCCATGTTACCTCATAGCAGGGCTCATCAAACGCTTTTCCTGAAGGCCAAGGTGGTACACACTTTGGGTCTCTTGGCCCATGCAGTGTCTCTGGCGACTGCTCATCTCTGCTGTTGACAATGAAGGAAACCATGAGCAAATATGTAAGGAACTCAAGTGCTGTGTTCCAATAAAACTTTATTTATAGAAACAAGCCAGAGACTGGATTGGCCCGTGGGTTATATTGGGCTGATACCGCCTCTGCAGTCCAGCAGTTCAGCTGTGGCTTTAGTCATGGGAGGAGAGATGGGGTGCGGTAGAGCAGCACTCTGGGGGGCCAAGGCAGGCGTTTCCAAAGTTTGAGCCCAAGTGGGCAACTCAGTAGCTTAGTGAGATCCTGTCTCAAAATTAAAATCTAAAAGACTAGAGATGTGGCTCAGTGGGGAAGCCCTGGGTTCAGTCCACAGCCCTGGAAAAAAGAAAAAGTGTTAGGAAAGATTATAGGTTTCTCTGTCTAGCATGACTCACCTGCGTCAAGCATTGAAACAAGGTTCATATTGGAAAATTAATTTTCTAATCCATAAGTGTTCTTTTGTGGAAAAATAGAGAAGATATCCATTGCTGTTTTTTAAATTGTTGCCTTAATAGTTAAAAGTTTTACTTAATTGCTTTTAATATTTAATGCTTTCATGTATTTTTTGTTTTTCTGTTAACTGATGTGCTAGCTGGGCACGGTGGCGCACACCTGTAAAGAGGGAGGGCAGAGCTGAAGCTCAGACGGTCATCATTTCTGTTCTTTCTTCATTCCTAAGGTTCCAAGTTTTCCTCTCATGTCATTTCCTTCTGAAGGACCTCTTGAGGTCGCTTCGTTCTGGTTTCCTGATACTGTAGACAGAATCACGGATCTTTGCCCTTTTAAAATTTTTTTATTTTGAGACAGTGTGTCATTAAGTCACTCGGTTGTCCTGGCCAGTTTTGAACTTGTGACGCTCCTGTCTCAGCCAGGTGCTGGGATTATAGGTGTGTACCATTACGATGCCTGTCTTGCTGTTACATTTTTAATAGCATAAACCCACTACCAGTCCCTGGCTCAGTGATTCCACCAGATTAGGAAGCTTCTAGACTTTCTTAAAAAGCATGTTGCTATAGCCTTTGTACACTGTCGTGGTTCTAAGTCTACACAGATGCAAACGAACACATCTCTTGGGAGAGTGTGACCGGGTGTTAGGGAGCTTTGTCCGTATGGACATGGTGTGTTTGCTGTCTGTTGAGTTGATTTGGTTGAGATGAGAGTGTGTCCCAGGCTGGACTTGAGCTGCCTCCCGAGCAGCTGGGACCCCTGTGCACATCTCCGCACTTGGCGAGGTTCTGTGTCCAGCCAGGACTGCACGGGCCGCTGCTCTCGTGGGCTTGTCTGGTGCTTCCTCGGGATTAGTTGCGGGACTTCTTCTCTGACTGAGACAGCCCGGAGGAGGTGCTGTGCTGTCCTCACACCCTGTCAGGTGGCACCTGTCCCAGTGTGTCCCTTGACTGACACTCTCGAGGGTCACTTGCGTAGACAGGTTCTGCCTGGCTTCTCTACTATAAAGTTTTAGTGTTTTCCCTCTTGAAATCAGTAAGGCCTTTTGTTTCTGAATTTATTATACATGTGTAGTTAATTATTTTAAATTAATATCTAGGAGCATTTGAAATATGTAGATGCCCTTTTCCTCATAAACCTATTTATGATAGCCCCATGGGTCCACGGCTCCGACTTCCCCCAGAGGAAGCAAGGTGGTGCTGTGTTTGTCTCTGTGATCAGATTCTGGGCGGCTCAGCTGCGTGGGGCCTTCACACTGGCTGCGTGTTCTGCACATCTCGACCCTGTTCTTTCCTCGCCCCTCTCTCCAGAATCAGTCCTTGTTGCGGTGTTTTTTATGGGAAATGATGTCCAGAGAATAAATTCTGGACACGTTCCTGGCATGTGTGTGTGCCTGTGTGTGTGTTAATGGGGACTGAACCCCGGGTCTTTACAGTGAACTATATGTCAAGTCCCTTTTTATTTTTTGAGACAAAGTCTCGCAGAGTTGCTGAATTTTCCAAGTTGGGCTTGGATGTGTGATCCTCCTGCCTCAGCTTCCCAGACTTGCTAAGGTTATGGGGGTGCAATGCCACACCCAGCCTGACTTTTTAAAGAATCACTTTACTTTTTTTTTTTGGTACCGGAGATCTAAACAATCACTTTTCATCTTTGTTTTGTTTTGTTTTGTTTTTCTCGATACCAGGAATGGAATTCACAACTGCCCATTTGCAAGGCAGGCGCTTATGCCACTGAGCTAAATCCCTAAATCCCCAGCCGCCGATCTTTATTTTTTCAATGAAGAATTTGCCTTAAAACTACAACCTTTAAGCTGGGGATATAGCTCAGTGGCACAGTACGCACCTCGCAAGCGAGAGGTCCTGAGTTCCATTCCTGGTACCAAAAACAAAATACAACCCTCACTATCCTGTACCAGTTTTCCTCCTGTGGGTGTTTGTCACTGCTGTGGCATGTGTCATGATTTGGGGAGTTGTCACTGACCAAGAGCAGAAAGGACTGGGTATCAGAGTCCAGGCCCACGCTGGACACAAGCCCGGAGGCCTCTTCAGTCTCTTGGCTCAGGCGTCTCCCATGGGACGTGGAGGATGAGTGGCTCCTGCAGGCTGGTCCCGGGGGGTCTCCTACCACCACTGTCTGCACTGAGTTCTCTTGGTCTCCATCTGGTGAGATGCTGGTGGCAAGCAGTGGTCTGTCTGCTTCATACCTTTGCCCCATGGGTACCGCACCAGTTTGGGCACAGTTACAGCCTCCTTTTGTTAGCCAGACTGTCCATCACCTGGGCTTACTTTAGGAAGGATGCTGTGTAGTTGCACGGGAAGATGTGACCATTTTATTGACCTTTCCCGGCTCAGTCTCGGTTGCATGGAGAGCGCTTCTCTGCAGTGTGGCCTATGGGCGCCACCTTTCTTACCGTCAGTCCCGAGCCCTGAAGGTTTGAAGCATCTCTTGAACACAGGACAGCGTCAGTGAGCTTGACTTTATCTCTCGGGCCCTCCACACTCCTGATTAATGACAAGGCTCTGTGAAGTGGTTTAGTTCTGCTTACGCGGCACATCCTAGAAAAGCATCAGAAAAGTAAATGGTGCGGGAGTGACATGGTTTAGTCAGGCAGTGTGTGGCTGTGCACAGCCTTGTGCACCGGCACGGGCACACGGGTGTGTGTGTGTGCCTGGGTGTGCATGTGACTGAGTGCGCTCTGGAAGGCCGACTCCCGATGCTCTTGCTCACGTGTTCCTGTTACCCACCGCTCTGCAGACAGGGCACAGTGGTGCAGCCCCACAGACCGAGGGGGAAGGCAGCCGCCCGTCCATGGACTTGTTCAAGGCCATCTTTGCCAGCTCCTCGGAGTCCTCGTCTGAGGAGGAAGAGCAAGACAACAGTGAGGACGAGCAGGCGGGCCCGGAGGAGGCCGGCTTCGGGGGCACACAGGACAGCGACACCCGGGAAGCTGTGTCTGTGGCCCACGGTATGTCAGTGTCTCAGACCTGGGGACCTAAAGGGGAAAACGCTGGGTCTCGGTCTTCAGTCTTAAACCAGGGGATCAGCAGTCAGGGTGGCAGAACAGAGTTCTTTGCTTACTTTTGCAGTGCTGAGTGTAGAACCTCGGGGCTCACATGCCAGGCAGGTGCCTCGGCTCTGAACAACACCCCAACCCCAGCATTCTTCCACTGTAAATGTCTGTGTGATTTTAGGGCAGCCGTGTTTGATTACTGATTTTCCAACTTAACCTAATTGAGAGAAATGTAAAAATATTTTTCATTTAAAAGTAATGTTTTTGGCCAGGGCTAAAGGTCAGGGGCACAGTGCCTACCTGGCCAGCGCGAGGTCATGAGTTTGATCCCTGGTACCGAAAAAAAATTTTTTTTACTTTTTTTTTTTTCATTTTTATCGGTACCGAAGATTGAACTCACGACCGCCTGCTTGCAAGGCAGGTGCTTATGCCACTGAGCTAAATCCCCAGCCCCGAAAAAAAATTTTTGAGGGCTTTAATCAAAAAGTTACACAGAAATAGAAAATATTATTTATCTTTAGGAAATAGCAAATCCCAATTTATTGTATCTGAAGGGGAAAAAAACCCATTTTTAAAATTGCAAGTCTTAAAAGTATATAAGTGCTTAGGTATGATGATACACACCTGTAATCCCAGTACTCTGGGAGGCTGAGGCAGGAGGATCATAAATTTGAGCCCAGCTTGAGACACTTAGTGATGTACCAAGACCCTGTCTCAGAATTAAAAATGGGCTGGGGATATAGCTCAGTGTGAAGGCCTCAGGATTGATTCCCCATGCTCCCCACACATAAGAAATGTAGAGAGCTTAAATACTTCGTAATCTTTTCCTAGAAATAACCGCTGATAACATGTAACTTGTAACATGCATAGTTTTGCCATTTTTTCTCTTCTAATAAACATCTTTTAAATAATGTGGTATTTAATACAAATGTGCCAGTTTATTTTCATTTTTCCCTTTGTTGACAGTTCATTCGAGTGAAATCAGCCCTCACTAGTTTTCTAGGGTGGCACACGTTGCGCCCCCGTGGTTTGTGAGTGCTGATTTCTCCTCCCGTGGCCCCTGCTTGAGGGTGTTTGACCCTCGGCTGCACAGTGACCTGGAGAGTGTGCCCCTGGCTACAGCTGCCTCTCGGCAGGACACCCCAGTGCGCTGGCCATAGGGGTCCTTGGGTAGCTGGCCGAGGTGACTCTGCCAGATTCGTTGTGTCCTCAGTGCCCGTTTGGTGGCAGCAGACAATGAGGGACTCCCTCACGTTAACAGTGGGCTAATGAATGACAGTCACCCTCTGGTGTTTTCCAGCTCCTGCACCAGCACCTCCTGAGCCCGCCCCGGTACCTCCCTTCCCGATACAGAAGATGCAGCTGGATGAACGGGAAGAGTTTGGCCCGAGGCTGCCACCCGTCTTCTGCCCCAGTGAGTCCGGAGCTCTCGTTTTGCCTCTCAGCGTCTGCACACATCTTCCCTGAGATGTGACAGCTCTCCACGCATGTGACAGCCACGCATCCCTCTAATCTGACTCCAGGCCCACCCAACACACTTATTTCTGGTTTCTGTGTTTCTGGTCACCCTTTGCAACCAGTCACCTCCACTGGTGCCTGAATGGTCGCTGCTGCTCACAGTGCCACAGACCTTTCAGCTTTTGCCTTCAAATTTTCAGATGTTTTTTGTAGGATCTTGAGTATCTTAAATTTCATCACTTACAGAGATTTTTAAAAAAGGAAAAGTCTTGCATGCAAAGATGGCAGGCGAATTGCCTTTTTTGAGACAAGGTTTCACCATGCAGTTCAGGCTGGCTTTGAGCTCACTTTGTAGCCCAGGCTGGCCTTGAACTCCGAGCGATCTTCCTGTCTCAGCCTCCTGAGTGTTGGAATTACAGGTATACACCATCATGCCCAGCTGGGGGAACTGAAGGAAGAAGAGTATTTTAAGTCTTTTATACTTTGGCTAATGAAGCACATAAAGTACTGTCCGTCCTCTTCTCTCAGTATCTGCGAGCCACTCCTGTACAGGGCATCTTACAAAGTCCCTCCTCATAAATTGTTTAGCCTGCTTTTTATCATCTCTTTGAAGGTTCCATTAACATCTACAAATGCAGCCCAGACATGTACCCAGCATAATTCCATTGTCCACTTTTATTTTCCTCCAGGCCTCACAGTTATTAAATAATGATTTGGTTAATTAAGCTATCTTTCAAAGAGATGCTAGAAAGCAGAGAAAGTATAAAGCTTAGAAAAATTGCAGTGACTGTATTTTTCATTGACCTTAGGTGTTTATATCTTTATTTTTAAATTGGTATCGCACTTGAAAATTATAATTATTCCTTCACTGTTATTCCTTCTACTTTTTTTTCTGGAATGTCCTTGCTACCCATTGAAAGGGTTGTTGACCCAGACCAGACACTGTAGCCAGAAAAAGCCTCAGCCAGAATTAGGGAGCTCCTGTCTCCCCCGCCCCTAGAGATTTACCTGTAACCCTATATCCCCCCACCCTTCGGAATCTGCCCCTGGCGCCAAATGTGTGCCAATGAAATACCTGTGCATCTCTAATGGCCTTAGGGCACTGCCCTAAGCTTAGGCTACTTATATTCCCCCACGCCATGTGCTGAGAGAGAGATCGCCAGACTTCAGCGGCCGGTGTGCCAGTCATCTCTCTCCGTGTTCTCAGAATAAAGGCCTCTTTTGTTTTATACTCATCATCTTTTGGAAATAATCCTATCACCCATAAAATACTTTGTAATGATTTGGCGTATGTCTTTTTCAGGGGACATGGTTTTTTTAAAAAATGTGACATGGGACTGGGGATTTAGCTCAGAAGCATAAGCACCTGCCTTGCAAGCAGGAAGTCGTGAGTTCGATCCCCGGTACCGAGAAAAAAAAAAAACAAACTTAAAAAATGTAGCATGGAAAAAACAATCAAGGGAGGTAAATTATGAAATACCTGACCAACTCTAAGGCTAGAAATTGCAAGCATTTGTTAATGAGTTTTGGAAAATAGTCACACTCTTGAAACTCTTGAAACTTTTCTTTAGTTGGAAAAACTTGTTCTGTTCCTATTATCATGATTTTTGTTTTGTTTTGATTACCTACAAATATATATCCCATGAACATGTCTTGGTCCGAGTCAAGGTGATGAGCCTAGGCCCATGCACCTCATTCAGTTTTTTCAGTTTTTGGAGCTGGAGATTGAGCCCAGAGCCTTTGCTCTGCGACTCATTTATAGCCATTTCATTTTGTTTTGTTTTTGGTACTGAGGATCGACCTCACACTTGCCAGGCAGGTGCTTGTGCCACTGAGCTGTACCCCCGGCCCACCCCATTTTAAAATGGGCAACCAGAATAGAGAGGTTGGGGGTCATAGCAGGCGAGGCCAGTGGGGTGCTGCTGGGGCTGGGCAGGGGGCAGGCCCCATCCACCGAAGACTCCCCACCTGGTGATTTGGGAACTCGCTTTTTTAACAGTCTCCCTAAAAGTTCAGGGTTATGACGTTCCTCTTTCAGATGTGCGTCGGAAACCTGAGACACCTCAAAAAGAGAAATGTAAAAAGAACAAAGAAAAACACAAGAGCAAGAAAGAGCACAAACGAAAGAAGGACAAGGTGAGGACGTCATGCGTCCCCTGGCGGCGTGGGCCTGGGCTGCGACTTCTGGAGTCCAGAAGAGCCCCGGCCGGGCGGGGACCTGGGGCCTGCAGATGCACACAGTCGCTCACAAGCTATTTTTCTGTCAAAGCAGCATTCAGTTGTTTAGTTGTGCTTTAAAAATTTTTTTGTTATAAAGATTTAAAAACAGGGAAAAAGAGTATTTAAGGCCTCTTAGGATAAAGGGTGAATATTCAATAATAAAGCAGCATCTATTGATTATTCATTCCATATTAAAATGAAGGTATCTTGAGCACGTCTCAACTAATGTTTCTTTTCCAGTACTGGCGGTTGAACCCAGGGCCTTCTTACTGAGCTACATCCTCAGCCCTCCTTCTTTGCTCTTTGTTCTATTTTTATCTTTTATTTATTTATTTTATTTTATTTTTTCTGGTACTGGGAATCAAACTTGGGACCTCATGCTTGCCAGGCAGACGCTTTTGCTGCTGAGCTGTACCTCCCGCCCCTCCACTTTTTACTTTTTGCTTTGAGACAGGCTCTGCTAAGTCCCTAAATTGACCTGTGACTTGTGATTTTTCTGCCTCAGCCTCCCATAGTACTGGGATTATAGGTGTGTGTGACCATGCCCGGCCACTTTTATCTTTTAAACAGTACTAGGACTGGAACCTTAGACCTCACTAGGCAAGCACTGCACCCCTGAGCTAGCGGCCCTCCAGCCTCAAGTCCTTTGTCATTAGTAAAGACGGCGCCAGCCGTGTGTAGCTTGTCACTGGCACGGAAGGAAACCTGAGCACAAAGAATAGCTGCGCATCCCCCATCAGCATCGCTGGTCTCAGCATCTGAGTCTCCCCTAGGCTTTTAGCTGGGTTCTTGTTATCATCAGGGACTTGGTGTGGCTCAGTCTGGGAGTACAATACATTGCAAACTGCCCCAGTGTTGGCTCCTGGGGCAGAAGGTTCCTGAGTGTGCAGCAGACTGAAGTGCTCATCCGTGAGGAGACCAGATGGGAAGTCCGGATGGAGCCGCCTGCTCTGGGAAGAGCCCTGCTGTTCATTGCCTTCCCTCAGTGTCTGTTCCCTGGCTTGACCCCTGCCATGCAATCCCTTGGGTACCTGGCGAAACAAACCAGTCAGGCTCTCGAGAAGTGGCACTGATCCCTGCAGAAAGGAGGCTACAGCATGGTACTGCCAGCAACCCAGTTGTTTGGGAAGCTGAGGCAGGAAGGTCAGAATTTTGAGGCCAGCTTGGGGCAACTTAGACCCTGTCTCAAAATAACAATAAAAAGGGCTGGGCTGTAACTCCGTGTGAAGGCCCCGGGTTCAATCTCCAGTACCACTGAAAGAAAAGGAAAAAAATATACATACACATGCACACACACACCACAACTAAATGGGGTCCTGGGGTGTCAGCTTGGTTTGGCACTGTGGACCTCTGCTCAGGGGGACGTGCCCAGCTGTCTGTCCTTGGCTGCCTGTGTGAGGCCAAGGCTCAATGCTTGACTCTGGGTTTGAATGATTGCAGCAGCCAGAGGCCGCACTTCAGGGAGGGAGGAGAGCGCTGCCCTGCAGCCCCGCCCGGCATCCAGGCCAGCTTTTCACACCAGCATCTCCCTCCTGTCTTGTCCTCTTTTCTTTTCCCAGAAAAAGAAACACAAAAAGCACAAACATAAAAGCAAACAGAAGACTAAAAAATCTGAGAAAAGCAGCAGTTCTGAGAGTACCGACAGCCATGACAGTGAGAGTGATGGAGCAGGGACCCCCGACCTGTCCCCTGAGGAGCTGCTTCGACGGTAAGGGGGAGATGGGAGCCTGCTTCTCTTCTGCTCAGGTCCCCGCGCCATTGCTTTCTCCCTGTCTCCTTAGCCCTCGCTGACTTTTTTTTGTACCAGGGCTCAAACTCATGACCACGCGCATGCCAGGCAGGCGCTGTGCCGCTGAGCCCCATCCCCGGCCATTCATGTTAGTTACCTCTTCCTGTCGCCGCACCACGCCCATGCACTGACACACACATCCTTGTGCACTGTTCGTTCATTTCTGTGTGGCACTAGAGTTTGAACTCAGAGCCTCTGCACTAAGCTACATCCCCAGCCCTTCTTACAGTTTTTTAATTTGAAACCCAATCTCGCTAAATCATTAAGTTACCTGGGCTGGGCTTGAACTTGGTGATTCTCCTGCCTCATCCTCCCCGAGTGCTGGGATGGCAGGCATGTGCTGCTGAGCCCAGCTGGACTTTTTTTTTTTTTTTTTTTTTTTGGCTTTTTCCTTTTTTTTTATCGGTACCAGGGATTGAACTCATGACTGCCTGCTTGCCCTTGGACATTTTTAATGCAAACACAGTTTAATGGAGCATAAAGTTGAAGGGTAGGCACAATTACAGTAAATAAATATGGCCCACGTGCTTTCCAAATACCTGTAGGTACTGAAATTATGAAAGTACATTTATTACATTAATTACAGAAATTGCAAGCATTGCTGGGCACCAGGACTGGGAAGGGCGTGGACCAGGGTGAAAGGGCCGCCCTTCGTGCAGGGCAGTGTAATGCACACCTTCGAAATCCCCGGGCCCCGAGGGCTCTGTTCTCATTCCTTTTGTGATTCTCCGCCCCACCCCCATCCAAATATTATATCCCAGTAGCGCTGCTGTCTGGAAAGACCAGTGCCACCTCTTTTTCTTTTTCATTCATTTCTTTCAAATGGACAGAGAGTCTTCTTGGTCCAAAAGTACAAACGGTGCGAGCACGGAGTTCTCTAAATGCACATGTGCGTGGGGTCAGCTCTCCTAGAGCTACCTGCCTCATAGCCAGGGGTCCAGAGCAGGAAGAGGTGGGTCCCACTGTCCCCTTGTGTAGCCTCCGTGTCCTACTCGAGGTCTCCCTCCTTAAACGTGCCCCCACTTGCCAGTAGCTCCATGCTGGGGACCAAGCCTGTAACTCATGTGTCTGTGGGACGCATGTGAAACCACAGCTCGAAGCTCTGAGCCCAGGACGAGGCCAGAGGGATCCCTGCACACTCAAGGGCACACTCAAGGGCAGCGCCTCTTTGCTCACCCTCCAGCCCCTCGGGCCTCCCTGGGGAGCCGTCAGACGAGGGCCCTTTCCTCTCTGTGCCTTGACTCTGCGTGTGGCTCCTGCGTGAGACACATTTGAGGCTTGCAGCCATGCGTTCTGCATCTCAGCACTGGTGGGGGGCTCACTCATGAGAGGGCCTGTGGTATGGGGTTTTCTTATTTTTTGTTTTTTGTCTTTTTGGTACCAGGAAATTGAACCTGACTGCGCTTGGCAGTCAGGTGTTTATGCCACTGAGCTATATGCCCAGAACCCCTGGCGCTTTCTTCTGTGGCAGCGCAGCCTGGTTCTGGTTGGAGTTGCTGCCCCCATCCCCGACTCTGATCTTCCTGTCACTTGTTGTCAGCTAGTTTTGCGCATTCCAGAGAGCCATGGAAACAGCACCACACAGTCAAGTCCGCCTTCTGTCCACACATATGGGGAGTGCAGAGAGCTGAGCTCGGGGCTCCATGTGTTTCCACCGCTGAGCACACTGCCCAGGCACACAGACCACGGGGGGAGCCTGCCCTCGCTCCTCTACAGAGACAGACATTGCTCTGGCTTCTGTCGCCACTGACTGCTCTTGGTGCTTTTAGACTTTATTTAAAAGAGTTTCATTCTGAAGCGGGCAAGGCAGTACACACCTGTAACCCCAGCACTTGGGAGGCTGAGGCAGGAGGAACGCTGTGAGTTCGAAGCCAGCCTGAACCATGTAGTGAAACCCTGTCTGGAAAAAGATAGAAAAAAAAGTTTCCTTCTGTAGTCTCTTTTGCACCAGAGTTTAGGAGGTTCCTCGGTGCCAGTGGCTGGGTCACCTCTGTGTGAGGAGAACCTCTTTATGTGACTACACCACTGTGCGCCCAGCTGTTCTGTCGTCTTGCACATTTGGTTTCCTGTGTGGAGCAAAGACAACCAGTGTGACCCAGCCACACCCACACCCCAGGAACACTGCCAGGAACTATCTGATGTTCAGGAAGCTGAGGTGGGAGGGTGACAACCTGGGCAAACCTGTTTTCATTCCTTCCCAGAGGTCATCGTTAGGTGAGGTGGGGGAGGGAAACCAGGATGAGAGGTTGTCCTTATAAATGGGGTCCAGACTAAAATGTGGGCGGTCACGTCTCTGCATTTTGGGGTCAGGGAAGAAGCAGGTGGCCATGCAGATTAGGCCAGGCTTCCTGGGGGCACACACACACACACACACACACACACACACACACACCTTGGCTTTTCAGTTTGCATCTAATTCTCTCTCCTTCCCCTCCATTCTCTCTCTCCCTCTCTCCCCCTACCTCCCTACCTTTCCCCCCTTTCTCTCTCCCTCTCTCCCCACTGCTTTCTTTCCCAGGCTGAAGTGTCTCCCGCTACCCCAGCAGTGATGCAGCCTCGCCCTGGGGGAGGAGCTCACCCATCATTCCGTGAACCCGTTGTACAAATTGTATTTATATGTAAATTGCTGTTGTAAAATACTTTTTAAAACCTTGACATTTGAAACACTGCAGAAATCGACTTCTATTTTTAATTACAGTTAGTGTCAGAAGGAAGACCTCCGACTGAAGAGCTTAATTAAAGTGGTGTTTTGTTTTCTGTTTTCTTCTTGATGCTTTTCATTCCCTGGAGTCTCACCAGGAATGAAAGTGAAGACTGGTTCTGTGATGGGTTCTGTGAAGACTGGCCGAGTGCTGAGCCTGGACTCACCCGAGGGCTGCAGGCTGCGGGCAGAGAGGCAGGCGGCCGCTTTCCACCTGCTGGGCAGGGACTGAAGCTCCGACTGGGCTGCTGGTGGCAGCCGGAGCTCCTGGGGCAGCACAGAGCGGCCACCGGAGGCCACCTCCTGAGCACTGCAGAGAACCCCCAAATGCAGGGTACAGCGCAGGGTGGGGCGCTGACCCAGTGTCCACCCCAGCCAGGTGCAGGAGCAGAACCATGACCATCAGAATGATTTTAAAGTGGAAGACAGAAAATCAGTTCTAGTTTTACCACCCAGCAATGACAACCCTCAGTATTTTGGAAAAATTCCATCTAGTCTCTAATTTCCAGCCACAGGCCTGTTACCAGACCGAGGCAACATTTTGCTATCCCCTCCTGCCACTGATCTAGGGACATATTTTCCTTACAACTTTTGTTTATTTTACTTTAGAGACAAGGTCTCACTGTGCAGTGCACGCTGGCCTTGGACTCACCGTGCAGCCCATCCCGGTGCTGGGGCTACAGGCCTGCACCCCCACCCCGCCCCCTACCAGTCTGGTGAACTGTGAGCCCAGCCAGCCAGCTGTACTGCATTTCTCAGAGGCCCTTTCTTAATTGACTGACTATTTCACTATCAATGGACAGAGAGGTCTGGCCAGCAGCTCCTGCAGAGGTGAATGCGCAGAAACTGCCCTGTGACTGGGAGCTGGGAGACCTAACAGTGTGGGACAGGCAGTGGGGTTGCTGGTCTTGCACACTCAGTCTCCTTCCTCTTGTGTCCAGAACGTGAGCCCGTTTTTCTATGGCAGTAGGGTCCTCGTGGGAGGGAGGCTGTGTGTGCTGTACAGCTGGCGAGGTGGCCTGGGCCAAGGAGGCGTATGTCCGAAGGCTGTTCTGGGGTGCAGGGGTGCAGTTGCCAACATCCTGCAGCTGTAGGACTCGGACCACTATGGGTCCACCTGGGTCCACTGCTGTACCCAAAAACTGCTCTGGCGGGGCAAGTGGAAGAGACACCCCTACACCTCCACACCCATGGGAGGTCACCGTGTCCCCACTTCCTATACTGTTTGCAGGCCGGTGTCCTCTCAACCCCGACATTGCCATGGGCAGCCTGTTCCCCGGTCCCCTGCCCTGCACCCACCACTACCCGCACCTCCCAAGCAGAGTCCCAACCCTTCCCCCGCGTCTTATACTTTCACACCTCCTGATACCCCCCAAGCCAGCACCCCCACATTGGGCAGTATTCCCACATTCATCTACATGGAAGTACACATCAGTACTTTGTTCCTCTTTTTTATTTCCAAATAATACCCCATCATTTGGCTCACACATTCTCTGTATTGGTTCATCACTGATGGACATCTGAGTGGTTTCCCCCACAGGCATCCTGGGTGTAAGTTCCAGTGTGAACATTCTCATCTCAGTGGGGATACACCTAGGTGTGAATGTGCTGCGGCAGGTTTCAAAGACCTGCCAAACTTCCACAGTGGTGTACAATTCTCCCTTCCCATCCATAATGTGCGATGGCTCCGATATCAGAGCCACCCTGGCAACTATGGCCTGGTTCCCACCATGGCTTTCACCTGCGCTTCCTAGAGGGCTAATGATGTTGATAATCTCATTGTGTGCTCTTCAAATTTGCATATCTTTGAGGAAATGTCTATTTGGATCATGTGCCCATTTTTTAAGTTGAGGGTTTTTTTGGTTTTTGTTTTGTATTTTTAGACTGGGTCTCACTATGCAGTTCAGGCTGGCCTAGAACTCAGGGGACCCTCCTGCCTCAGCCACCTGAGTGCTGGGATTACAAGTATACACCACTACACTTGGCTTGACCATCTTTTCAGTTTGCTAGAGTAAATGCAATAGTCTTTTCTTCTGTTTGTTGTCTGAGTCAGTTCTGTAGACACAACAACCTGTTACTTTTTTTTTTTTTTACTTTTTTTTTTTCTTTTTCCTTTTTATCGGTACCAGGGATCGAACTCACAACTGCCTGCTTGCAAGGCATGTGCTTATGCCACTGAGCTAAATCCCCAACCCCAACAACCTGTTACTTTGAAAATACCGATTTTGCAGCCCAGAGCCATCTTGCTTATGCCTCCCCGCACCTCCAGGTGTTGCTAGGCTGCTTCTCTGTGAAGCCTCAGTCAGAACAGCTCCAGGTATCAGTCGAGAATCCTCCTTGCTAACACTTAATGCTGTGATTTTCTTCTGTCTAACGACATGAGCTATACTCCTTGAATCAGCCCAGGCTTCTGCTTCTCACAGGGCCTGGGTTCTCTGCCCATTCAGGAAGCTCTTGGCTCACCTTACTCCCTTTCATTGCAGCCAAAGATGCTGTGCTAGTCAGTTCTCTGCAGCTATAACAAAATACCCAAGGCTGGGAACTTCAAAAAGGGGAGGAGTTAACTTAGTGCACAGTTGTGTTGGTTTGGTTCTGGTGAGAGGCTCCAGGCCAAGTGCTCCACTAAGGGAGCCCATTCAGGAGGGAGCCATTTCTGGACATGGTGGTGCATATGTCTATAATCCCAGCACTTGGGAGGCTCAGGCAGGAGGATTAGAAGTTGGACTGCAGCTTGGGCTACACAGCAGGGTCCTGTCATAAAAGGAAGGAAGGAAAGAAGGAAGGAGAAAAGTATACAGTACCATCAACAAATAGAAGAAAGAAAAGGCATTTCAAAAGGAAAAGTAGAGATTTCAAAGTGAAGAAGCCCAACAAATCCATTTTTGAGTATTGCATTGCAGTAACGGGACAAAAGAACCCTCACAAGTGAGATGTAGTGGCATATATCTATAATCCCCACACTCTGGAGGCTGAGGCAGGACAATCTCCAGAAGTTCAATCAAGGCCAGCCTAGGCTACGATGTAGTGAGTTCAAGGTCACCCTGAAGTACAAAGAGAGATCCAACCTCAAAAAACAAAACAAACCAAAGGAACTTTCCTGACCCCGATGTGACAAGAAGGACAGAACATAGCCTCTGTGAGATTACTGCCAAAGGGCCTCACACAGGTGTGATTGTGAGGAGGCTCTAAGCCTACATCGAGGATCACTGTATGGATGACCGGCTGTGCTCTCCTGGTGTCAGGTCACAAAAGCCAAGAAGAGATGGTTCCAAAATGAAGGCATGAGACAGATATGGCCACCACAGTCACTGGGACCCTGGACACTGTACTGGCTAGGAAGGGCACTGCTATGGTCTGGACCTGGGTCCCCTGCAGTTTCCTCCCCCTGGGAGGGGGTGTCAGGAGGTCTCCAGGAAGTGGTCCCTGCTTTGACTCAGGGAGAGGGTACCCAGCTGAGCCTGACTGATGATTCGGGGCAGGGCAGCCTTTATCCTGGACGCACCAGTCCCCAGAACTGTGAGCTGCTTTTGTTGTTTCTAAACCGTCAGGGCCATCAGGGCTGGCAGCGGAAGACACACCTGTTATCTGGGCACACTAGGGGGCTGAGGCAGAAAAGAGGACCACAAGTTCAAGCCCAGTTTCAACACTTTAGCAAGGACCTGTCTCAAAAAATTTTGAAAAAGGACTAGCAGTGTAGCTAATGTGAAGGCCCAGGTTTCAGTGTCCAGGACTGAAAAAAAAAAAAAAGAGGTAGGGGCTGGAGATTTAGCTCAGCGGCATAAGCACCTGCCTTGCAAGTGTGCGGTCGTGAGTTCGATCCCTGGTACCAATAAAAACGAAAAAGACAAAAAAAAAAAAAAAAGAAAAGAAAAAAGAGGCCAGACTTGGTGGCACACACCCCTAATCCCAATACTCAGGAGGCTCAGGCAGGAGGATCACCACAAATTCAAGGCCAACCTGAATCACACAGTAAGCTCTTGTCTCAAAAAAAAAAAAACATATCCTCTCACAGCTCTGGAGGGCAGAAGCTCACGGGCTTCTTTGGAAGCCCCTATGGGAGACCCCGCCCTACCTATTGCTAGTTTGGGGCCATTTGCAGATTATGCTGGTGTCCCTCAGCTCCATCTGTGGCCCTGGCACATGCGTCAGGTCGGAACAGGATCACCTGTCCGGTTAGTGACCCCACCTTCACCAGCGACATCTGCACAGGCCCCGTTTCTAAATAAAGCCTCATGCCGAGGTATTGGAGGCTGGGATTCCCAGTCTCTCTCTGTCATGGGTGCTGGCAGAGGGCAAGACCCAGCCCCTGATAGGAGGAGAGACAGGGAAGAGACAATGGAGGAACCCGGCCAAACACCCCACGGGTGTGGGAATCCTCAGTCCTCGTCTTCCGACTTGTCCAGAAGTTTGAAATTATTTAAAAAATAAACGAAATAGTCCAGGAATGGTGGCACACACCTGTAATCCCAGTACTCTGGGAGGCTGAGGCAGGAGGATCATAAGTTTGAGCTCAGTCCAGGCGACTCAGCAAGACCCCAGCTTAAAATCAGTTTTTAAAAGGGCTGGCGGTGTGGCTCAGTGCAGAGGCCCTGAGTTCAGTCCACAGAACTGCGAAAATCAGTGAACCAATAAATAAGCCCAGAGAGGGCTGGGGAGCAGTCATATGAGGATGGAGAAGTGGCCACTGGGCTAACAAGTTGGGGGCCCGGCACCTGCACATGGCTGCAATGCCTCAGAACTGGCTACTGTAATCAGCCTGCCGAGGTCCATCAGCATTCGCCCCCCCTTGCTAGTAGAGGAAACCTAGACAGGTTTTCCACCTCTTAGGATATATTTCCTCATCTATAAAACGTGGGGCATGGTAGTGCCTGCCTGTCCTTTTTTTTTTTTTTTTTTTTGGTACTAGGGATCTGAACTCATGACCTTGTGCTTGCCAGGCAGGCGCGTATGCCACTGAACTAAATCCCCAGCCCCACCTGCCTGCCCTTTTTAAAAATAATCAGTTATGGGGGCTGGGGATTTAGCTCAGTGGCATAAGCACCTGCCTTGCAAGCAGGCAGTCGTGAGTTCGATCCCCGGTACTGATAGAAAGGGAAAAAACAAAAAAAAATCAGTTATTTTAAAATTCATTCTTTTTTTTTTTTTTTTTTTTTGGCTTTTTCATTTCTATCGGTACCAGGGATCGAACTCATGACTGCCTGCTTGCAATTCACGACTACCTGCTTGCAAGGCAGGCGCTTATGCTGCTGAGCTAAATCCCCAGCCCCCCTTGCTACTTTTTAATAACACAATTTACATGCAAGGAATGCACATTTTAAAGCATAAAGGACTAGGGGCTGGGGATTTAGCTCAGTGGGGTAAGCGCCTGCTTGGCAAGCGCAAGGTCTCGAGTTCCATCCCCAGTACCAAAAAAATAATAATAATAAAAATAAAATTAAAAATAAAATATACAGAGCTGGGAACAGGTGTGGTATCACATACCAGTTATCCCAGCACTTGGGAGACTGAGGCAGGAGGTTATCTGTGAGTTTTCGGCCAGTCTGGGCTACATAGAGAGTTCAAAGCCAGCCTAAACCTCAACTACAAAGTGAAAACTTGTCTCAAAAATCCAAAAATAAAATGATAAAGTAAAATGGAATGAAAGAAAAGATACACAGAGCACAGTGGTACAGCACTTGCCTAGCAACTGTGAAAACCCGGGTTGGTTCGGCCCTGCTACCCTCCCCCTCCTGCCTTGCTGGACCCTGCGGGCTGGTTCGTTCCCTCACCTCCTTCGGATCTAATCTGACCTCCACAGCGAGCCCCCTGATCCCTACACGAAATCGCCAACTCACCGGGCCATGGAAACACCTGTAGTTCCAGCTCCTCAGAAGGCTGAGGCAGGATGACCCCTTGAGCCCAGGAGTTCAGAGCCAACCTGGGCAATCTAGGCAGATCCTGGCTTCAAAAGTAAACTCACTCACTCTCTTTCATTGCCACTTGCTCCTGCTCTTATCTGTCACTGAAGTTGCTCAGTCTCCTCACTAGCACGGTCTAGGGCAGGGCAGAGACCTACAAGGAAAGCCCCTTCTGGCCCAGCCCAGCATCCACCTCCTCCTTGCAGTACATGGCTGCCTCGCTCCCGCAAGGGCTGTACGGAGTGGCAGAAGTGCCCTGAGCCCACCCTGAGCCTTGCTCCCACCCCTGGACCTCTCATACTTCAGACCACTCAGACTTTCCTTAGTGGCCAGATGTGACCATCACCGTGGAACGTCATTAACAGACCTTGATCACACAGAGGTGGAAGGACCCGGGTCCTCCTGCCTGCTGGCCCGGGCTCTAGTCAGTCCCAGCCTCCCTGGTGTCCTGTGCATCCTCCCTCCCTGAGGGTCTCTGCTGACCCTTCAGGGAATCCTGACCTGCACCCCTAAGGCTACTCCCCTGTCCCCAGCTCAGAAACATTCATTCCATCTACAGCATCCGTCTGTGTATCAGAATTTTCAGGAGAAACTGTTTAAGAGGCTGACTTCTAGGCATGACCCCCAAGAGATCCTGACTTCACAGTTGGGACCATTAAGTGGCTTTTTTTGTTGTTGTTTGGTAACGGGGATCCAACTCACAATCTCACACTTGCCAGGCAGGCGCTTACACCCCTGAGCTACACCCCCAGCCCCTAACTGGCATTTTTGACTAGTACCTTTTTTTTTTCTTTTTTAGACAGGATCTCACTATACAGTCCTGGCTGGCCTCCAACTCACACCAATCCTCCTGCCTCAGCCTCCTGAGTGCTGGGATAAAAGGCATGTGCCATCTTGCCCAGCTCCAGCTGCTTTTAAAATATCACATTTTCCAGTAATTCACACCAGCCATCATTTATCCTAGAAATATCTTGAAACCTTGAGGCCTGTGGGAAACCCCTTTCTGTCCTGGAGGCCCTAACCAAGGACAGATGTATTCTCCTCTCACAGGAAGGTGACAATCCTTGCAGCTCAGGCCCTGGTCTGACAGTTGCTATGTAGTTGGAAGTCCAGGGTACTCTGCTATTGAGGGGTCTAACCCCCAAAGTCAGCCTACACATTCTCCACCTCTAAAAAAACTGACAAGATGTTTAATTTTGGTGAACTTTATTTTACAGGTTAACATTCACACGTACTGATCATGGGGTTACGAACATTCACATGTACTGATCACGGAGTCACAAAACCCTAAGACCTGTGAAGTAAGGGACAGGACAACTGCAGGCTTCCGTCACCTCACGCATCCAGTTCCTTCCTAGGATCTGTTCTGCACACACCCAAGGAAACCCTCCAGCCAGAGGAGGCAAAAGGGTCCTTTTTCTCTTAGGTCTGGGAGCCCCGCCCCTACATTTGAAGTGAATCACCACAAGAAGTGTGTCTTAAAATTGAGTACCAACATTTAACAACTGGTCACATTTTTTTAATCACAAAAAAACTGAAGTCAGAAGAGAGACCATGAAAAGCCACAGAGACTAAATCTAGGGCAGCAGAATATCACTATCACACACCAGGGTGGCACATGAGCGCTTGCAGAATCACTGCAGGACCAGGGCGCATGGGTTACAAAAGGAAGCTTCCTTTCCAAGTGTCGCCTCACAGGGCACCCATGGGACCCACTACCCACTGCTTCCAGCCTTCCTCAAAGTCCTGGCTACAAGAAATGTAATTCTATCCAAAGACAAGCCAGAACAGCAGGCTCCAGACCTGCACACGGACGTGTGAACCTTCAAACACGAGCTCATTCCCTTGGCGGTGCCCTGACTGCTGTGAACTGTCACACACTGCAGCAGCCATTTCCCACACCTTAAAACACATGAAAAAACAGATGTGGATCACTTCTGTAGGAATGCCTCGGGACTTGCCAGGATACAGTCTGGCCTTGGAGACACTGCCCCTCAGACCATACACGCTACACACACACACACGCACACACACTTGGGACACAGTAGTCTGGGATGATTGATTTACTGTGCCTAAATTAACAGCCATATTGTGAAGCATTTTCCTTCCCCATTTTGTCCCTCTTTTCACCATAACGTGGAAAGTGGCCGTCAGCCTCCAAAGCATCCAGTGGGTTTGTCTTAAAATTGGCACGAGATAGATCAAGAGCCAAGAATCTAGAGAAGTCCAATCTTTCCCAAACAGTTACCTTTCTTCCCCACAGGCTTCCTGAGAAAGCTTCACCCCATAAATGGGGATCCAAGTGCCACTTTTACTAATAGACCCTGAAACTCCACTCTTTCAAGCACAAGGCAGATACTTATTTTTTTTGTTTGTTTGTTTGTTTTCCAGAACTCTTAGGACCTAAGCTTTCCGGGTAGACATTGGAGGGCGAAGTCAGGACAGAAGGAACAAGCACACGGAGCCTACAGGGAGGATCCCGGCTTCACGCACCCACTGGGGAGCCACAAGGAGGCTGGAAGGAAAGATGTGGCCACCCTGCTCCTCAAAATGCCAGGCCCTGAAGGTCGGATGACCCCAGGAAGCGGGGAGTGGGCGAGGGAGGCTGAAGGGGACCCTGCCCACGCACACTGGGGAATGTTCTAGAATTTTCCCAGGCTACTTCCAGCTCTCTAGCCTTTGAGGGTGAGTGAAGGAGGAAGTGAAAGAAAAAAGGCAGCCCTGCCAGAGCACAAAGGCAGAGAGACAGCGCCCTCCCCTGTGGTCCCCTCACACCCCTCTGCTCCCTCTCCTGTCCTTTACCTCTGAGAGCCACATCTCTACACACCGGGTCCCCCCAAGAGTCAACACTTTTGTTCCCTTTGACAGCAAGTGAAAACTCTGCTCCCAGCTTGGGACTTCTTCCGTGGTCTTTCTTCAACTCCCAGCACAGGTGGTCCTCGGAATCAAAGCTTGCCGGAATCTGTGGGTAAATCAAAACAGCTCACAGCGGGAAGCACAAAAGGGGGCCATTAAGAAAGTCTGACTTCCTAGGACCTTCTGAGGCCTCAAACATTCCATCCACTACCAGGACCTCAGAAACCTTCACCTCTAAAGCCACAGACCCTGACAAACATTACAACCCCATTCGATTCTTGTTTTGTTTTGTTTTTTTGTTTGTTTTTTTTGGTACTGGGAATCGAACTCATGACCTCGCACTTGCCAGGCAGGCACTTGTGCCACTTGGGCTATATGCCCAGCTCCATTTCATTCAATTCTTAAGGAGGGAGGGAGAGGGGAGTGGCAGAGTGTCCACCAACCACTGAGGCAATGACCCATAAAAGACAGCTCACTGGGTTTGCTCTGCTGCCTCCTGTGTATGCAGGGGCGGCCATCAGGAGCCCCCAGGTCTCACCCTCTGAACCTCACCTGGGGTGTCATCCACTTCTTCCAACCCACTGGAACATCCTTGTCACAGCCTGACCTCCCACCCGAGGGTTCCTCTGCCCCCACAGGCACTCCTGGGCCGCCCACCCAACTTCAGTGGCTTCTGCGGTCACTCTCACCATTGGAGGCACGAGGAGAGCCTGCGGCCTTGGCCTTCGGACGCCTGGACATTGATGCTGGCGCTGCAGCAGGGTGAGGCCCATGCAGGGCCTTCTGTGCCGATGTAGCCCTTCTGGAGCCTAGCCCTTTCTTTGGAACCATCAGCTTCTTCTTGGCATCTTCAGAATCAACAAGGACATAAGAGATGGGACCCAAAGTCACCTTCTTCTTCTTCCTTACCGGGCCAAGGCTCTTTCCGGAGGCCCAGCCTGTGGCCTTCTTTTTCAGTGGCCTCCCCTGACCACCACCCTGGTCTGACTTAGAGGTGCCTTCAGGGCTCTCGGCTCCCCCCAGGGTATCAGGAGATGGCTCTCTGGGAACCTTCCAGGCACTTGTCCCCATGGGCTTCCTTAAAGGCGGCTCCTCCTGCTCCGCCTGCTTTCTGAGGCTCTTGCCAAACTCTCTGATCTCCATTCTTTCCACATCACCCACCCCAAACCCCTCCAAGTAGGCCGAGCTGCTGCCGTGGCTGCCTTTGGGCTTTTTCCAGAGCACTGGTTCCTGCTTAGGGGTTTTCTTCTGCTTCTTTCTCCTGGAGCGAGCCTTAGCTCCAGCCCTACGAACTATGAGTTTGGGAGGGTCACCCTGGTCTTCCATGCCTTTCCAGCGGGTGGGGCTCTCCATCTTCAGGGCCAAACCCACCTCCGTGGCAAGCCGTGGCTCCTTCTTCACCTTCTTCCCTGCTGCCAAAGCCCAAGCTGCCCCCTCCTCTGCCTCAGCGGCCTCCTGAGCCCGAGCTTCCTCCCGGCTGCGGATCTCAGCATCCCTGCACAAGATGACCTGCACCACTGCTCCCAGGAGCACCCCCAACGCTTCTCCCCAATTCTCGGAGGCCTGGTTTGCACTCTGGGGTGGCGGGGGGTGGTTCAGTTGTAGGAGACGGATCACATCTTCCCAGGTGCGCCCCTCAGCATCCAGGAATTCATTCAAGTTTTTCAAAAACTCAGCATCCTGGGTGGGATCCCTGCAAGCTACCTTCCAGATGCCACCCCTTCCCGCAAACTCTCGGGGGACTGCGCTCAGGTTCACGCCCTCGCCCACCTCAATGAGGGCCGCTTTGACATTCTCTTCCCTCAGAAATATCTTGTTGAGCACGCGGTATGTGCCCAGGGGGGCGAGGACCCCATTCAGGGTCTCCTCGAGTTCCGCTTGGCCACAGTCCTCGGGGATGCCCGTGACCAACAAGGACCTGTGCACGTCCACTTCCATCCCCCGACACCAGTCCTCCAGGAGGTTCATCGCTGTGGCCCCCGACATCGAGCTGCTCTACCCGCACACAAGGCCGCAAAGGGGTGCAGGAGCTGGGTGTGGGCCGCAGCGGCCCCTGCAAAGCACCCCGGGGGTCACAGTAGCCTGGGGTCGGGGTCCCCGGAGGCCGCGTCTGCGCCTCCCCCCTCCCCTGCGGCACCGGAGCTCACACGCGTCCCCGGATCTGGCACCAAAAAGAGGCCGCTGTGGTGGCGCCGGCTCAAGCCAGAGGAGGCACCCGAAGCAGCCCTAGCAGCCCCCACTCCAGCCCAGCAGAGTCACGCGGCGGCCTGCCTCGAGCGCTCCCGCAGCTGCGCGGAGACCCGAAGGGAGTCGCAGCCCGCGCCTGCGCAATGGCCCCCGCGCCACCGCAGCGGGTCTGCGCGTCTCCGCAGCGCCCGACGACGCTCTCCATGGCAACCAGTGGTTGGTTGCTAGGATTCGGCGTGGCTCTGCAGTTCGGCCTAGCTGGTGGACTGGAAGTGCCACTGTTGCAGTGTCCACTGAGCAAGGGCTTTTACTCTCTCAGTTCGCTAGTCTCACTCTGCACCGTTATGTATGTAATGTGGGCCCCGGAGCCAGGGACTCTGTCCTCTAGAGACACTGTCCTCCAGCCAGCTCTATTTGCCCTGCAGACTAGATTCCTGGGAAACGTCAGAAATTAGAGGACAATCGAAAAGAGACTCCAGTCATCCCTCCACCGCTCGTCCCCCTCTCTCACAAGCCACAGCTCTTGTTGGGCAGCATTTCTGAGCTGCTGCTCCTGAGTGCTGGAAACTTCTGGAAATTTCTAGAAACTTCTTTCCTCTGTCCGTCCCTATAGTCCTGAAGATTGTGCCTCTCCTTTCCTTGTTGGTTCCTCAACTTGCTGCCCAATAGGAAAATCTTTTTTATTAGCTTATTAAATTTAGGTTAGTGTATGTGCTCTGAAGCAAGCACTAACTTTAGGTTAATAGTTTATTAATTGGATGACTCCGTTTGAGCCTCTGTTTCCTGCAGGCCCTCACTGATAACACCCAGCAAAATACTCTTCCTGGTTCTGTGATCTTAGATAACTTGCACTCCTTCTTTTTTTCCACAATGGAAATACTCATAAAAATCTTGATGTAGAAGTTTTAAAGATGTGGGGATCTCACATATGAAAAATGCTAACAAAGAACAGAATTTCTCTTAGTATTCTACCAAAATCTGATCTCTGCATTTAGTTTTGGAATTGGCCTTTGCAAGGCCAAATAGGCAAATCCCTATTTCTCTATCATCTCCGCCATCCCTAAATGTGGGCATGACAGATATTTATGTGATTGCGCAGGTTCCCGTTATATCTTGTGCAGAACAAAAAACATCATTCAAACTGTTCACATCTGAACATTCACATCCCAGTAAAGATGGACTCTGAGCTCTCAGTGGTGCACATTTACTGTCCTAGGGAGAAGGATGCTGACACAGGAAGATCACCGGATTTGAGGCCAGCCTGAGTAACTCAGCCAGACCCTGTCTCAAAATAAAATGGGCCATGGACATACCTTGATGAGTGTTTGCCTAACCCACACAAGGCCTTGTGTTCAATCGCCAGTACCAAAAACAAAAACAAAAAACTACCTGCTGGCTACAGGACAGCTTTACAATCTCTCATGTGCTTTATGTATCGAAATTCTATGACTTTGCTTTTTAAAATGTCCCTCTATCACTATGCAGAGGGTTTAAAGCAGAGCCCTAAGCTCTCTGGCACTACTTTTGAGAGATCTATTCCCCTCCCCTCCACCAGTAGAATGTGGCAGAAAAGGAGTTCTGTGGCCTTGCAGGCTGGTTATGGAAGGCGTTCCACAGTGCGTTCATTGGGATTCTCTCATTCTTGGGTCCTGGAGCTTCCAAGCAGGATGTTCAACTGTCCTGTGGCAGCCTTGCTGTGAGGAACACCAACTCACACACAAAAGCCACACATCAGCACTTCAGTTAACAGTTCCCAGCCATGCCCCACTTGCGGATTGAGAATACATCCAATAAAAATGTCAAAAAGATACTAAGAGTTGCTGAGGATTCTCTTTCGGTTCATGGCTGTGGGAATGTAAATTAAGACAATCATTCTGGAAACTCCTTTGGCTGTACCTATTAATTTAGAACATTTACAAACGCTAGATCTGAAATAGGCGAGCTAACGCTTGGAGAGGAAAGCCGATGTGAACCAGGATGCATGGGGACAGCTGGCAGGGCCCACAGGGCAGCATGGCTTCTCCTCCTCGCTCTCTGATGGTCTCACAGGAGCTGCTGGACCACTGTCACACTGCTGCCCATGCCCCTGGTACAGATTCAGAGAAGCTGAGTGAGACAGCACCTCAGGATGCCCTTCTCTTTCTTTTGGTAAGTTATTTTGGCATGTGGTGTAATAACAGCCACCGGGGTTTCATACTTATTTATTTATTGGTACTGGGAATCGAACTCACAACCTTGCACTTGCCAGGCAGGCACTGTGCCACTGAGCTATGTCCCCAGTCTGACACTGGATTTGATAAAGTGAATTTTTTTGTTTGGTACCAGGGATCAAACTCATGACCTCACACTTGCCAGGCAGGCGCGCTTATGCCACCGAGCTACACACACCCGATGCAATAAAGTGCATTTTTGAGTGCAGAAATATTCAAAATGACCGTCTGTGGGAAGGAAGAGGTAGAAGGAGCGACAGTTTGAGGCTAGGCTGAGCACCATAGTGAGAGCCTGGTCTCGAAGTAAATTTCTAACGAAGAAATAAAAGGGCTACGGATGTAGCTCATTGCTCCATAGAAGCCACCCTGTTGCCATGAAGAATTTGAATGCTAAAGCCTGCTGTGGTGGTCCACACCTGTCATCCCAGCACTCAGGAGGCTGAGGCAGGAGGGTTGTGGCAAGTTCAAGGTCAGCCTGGACTACATAGCAAGATCCCGTCTCAAAAGTTTTTTTGAATACTGTAGAAGTATTTCAAATAAATGGATATAAAGCCATACTGTGTATATATCTACCTATCATGTACTTCAAAATACCTTAAATAAAAACTTAAGAGAAAATTTTATTTTGCTTGCATTTATTTTTATTTTTATTTTTATTTTTTTGTCTTTTTCCTTTTTATCGGTACCAGGGATTGAACTCATGACTGCCTGCTTGCAAGGCAGGCGCTTATGCCGCTGAGCTAAACCCCCAGCCCCTTTGCTTGCATTTCTAAAGTAATAAATATTTATTACTGTTCAAGTCCCCGTGTATGTGTGTGTGCGTGTGTGTAAGTAGAGTCCACTGCCTGATTGCTCTTTCATTAGGGAGCCACCCCAGTTGCTAGCAGATTTTAAAATAGTTTTGAGGAGGCTGGGGATTTAGCTCAGTGGCATAAGCGCCTTCCCTGCAAGCATGCAGTGGATCCCCGGTACCAAAAAAAGTAGTTTTGAAGCACCCTTAGTAGGAGTCCTCATTGTGATTTCCATGGCAGCACAGTGGTACTGTAGTGTCTGTGACAAAGGTTTACACTGTGGTTTCCATAGCAATGCATCCCTAGGCCCCAGCCCCCTCCTCTCATTCATCTCTGCATCTGGGTTTAGGAAGGCCTCTCCATACTGTTTCTCTCTGTTTAGCCTTTGGGTTTCTATGATGCCCTGCTGGTGTTTGTTTGCTTCTCTTCTGTGTTTTGTTTTGTTTTGTTTTGTTTTGTTTTGTTTTGTTTGAAACAAGGTCTCCCTGTGTTTTGTAGGCTGGCCTTGAGCTCCCTATGTAACCCAAGCTGGTCTTGAACTCACAGCACTCCTCCTGCCTCAGCCTCCCAAGTGCTAGAACTGCAGGCACGCACCACCATGCCTGGTTTTATAGTTTCTGGCTGGTTTTATAGTTTCTGTTTTTGTTTTCAGTACTGTGGGCTGAACCAAAGGCCTTCCCACTGAGCTACCTTCTCTGCCTTTATTATCATTATCATCATCGTTGTCTTCATCATTATTATTTGAGATGATCTCACTAATTTTTAAGTCCCCAGGCTGGACTCCAATTTGGTTTTTTGTTTTGGGGGGGGGTCTTTTTCGTTTTTATCGGTACCAGGGATCGAACTCACGACAAGGCAGGCACTTATGCTGCTGAGCTAAATCCCCAGCCCCTGGACTCCAATTTGTAATCCTCCTCCTTCAGCCTCCAGATTGCTGGGATTATAGATGTAGGCTGCCATCATACCCAGATCCCAGCTGTGTGTTTTAGAGGACAGGTTGAGTGTCCACAAATACTGACCCCCAGAAAAGCTCTAGACTGCCACTTAAATTTCCTCTCCATATTAAACTGCAGTAGTGCGCCTGGGGGTGCAGACCCACCACCCCACCCCCACCCCGCCCCACTCTCCTGTGACAGCTCCTCCCGCCCCAGGGTTTAAGTCTGTGCTGCTCCTCCCCTCCTCCATACCCGCGCCATTGTGCTGGGGCAGTGGAGTCCCAGGCAGCGGCTCTGTCAGGAAGATTTGAGAAAATACTGAAAAGAGGAAAATATTAATGTGCTGCGATTTCATTTTTCATGGGAGCACCTTATTATTTTTTAAAGGGTGAAATCTTTTAAAAACACAAAGTAGGGGGCTGGGGATTTAGCTCAGCGGCATAAGCACCTGCCTTGCAAGCAGGCAGTCATGAGTTCAATCCCGGGTACTGATAAAAAGGAAAAAGAAAAAACAAAACAAACAAACAAAAAACACAAAATGGACACATAGCAAATGTTTTACTGAACAGGCCAGAAAGCTCAGGGAGCTTGTGCAGCCAGTTCAAAGAAAAGATCCAAAGAGCATACACAAACACAGGCCGGTGGGGAGGCCAAAATAATTTCCTTAATGCAGAGAAAACCAGCTTTTTCCACAGAGGCAGACAAATCAGTTGAACTTCCACAAGACAAAATCCACTTACCTGTTGGGGGACAAGACTATTTGCTTTTATTTTATTTGCCTTTTCGAGACAGGGTCCATGCTGGCCTTCACCTCACTAGGTAGCCCAGGCTGATCTCGAGCTCATAACTATCCTCCTGCCTCAGTCTCCTCAGGACTACGATTACAGGTGTGCACCACCACACCCGGCTCAACGTGCACTGCTTTTACCAGTATGTACAATTTACAGAGGTATAAATGGCTCACACCCATAAAATCAGCAAGGCTGGAAGGGTATGCTGCCCCCTCAAATTCCTGCATAGACATCAGCCACCCTTTTGATACATTTCAAAGTCTTTCACAACCTTTGCTAGAGAAACAACCGTTCACGTTTTATGGTAGTATGCTGGCTTATGAAGCTCTACTTCCCATGGTAGAGTAGGGGGTGTCCAGATCACAGTAAGATGTGTTTCTCATGCAGGTCATATAGTCAACGACAG